CTTTCATACTGATTTCTAGTCCATAATTTCTTCCTTTCCTGATGGTATATTCGTTTTTTAAAAAAACAATCAAACTCATCAGCTACTATCGAATCAGAACCGACTGAATAATTTTTCTCACCCCTCGTGCATCTAAAAGCTCTGGAATATTGTTATCGTTTTTTATTTGTGTTACACAACCATTCCTCATGAAAATATCAAAAGAAATTTCTCAGTTCATTTCGCAAACGTGACTGAGTTTTCGGATTCCCTTTTCCTCTTATTAGCTTTGATGCGTGTTCAAATAAAGGAAATTGGTTTGAATAAATTGAACATTTTCAAATAACTGGTTTTTCTCACGCTAAGTGAATTTCCGGAGTCAAGCAACTGATAAAATTGTTTGGATAGAAGCAACATCTATTAAGCCAATTCAAAATGTATAGAAATGAATTAAAAACATTGTTGAAGAAATCTAAAGCTGATTATTATAAGAAAGAGATCGATAAAAATAAAAACAGTGCAAAACTACTAAGGAAAACAGTAAATGCTGCTTGCTCTAAACTTGCTCTAAAATATTCAGCCTTTTCAGTGCATAACAAAAACTTACCCAGTCTTGAACCTCTTGAAATCAGAGGTGAAAACAGCATCGTGAAAATCACACAGGCTACAGAAATAGAGTATCTTGGTGTAATGATAGACAATCACTTAAAATGGAACTTACACATTAGGAAGTTAGTGCAAAAAATTAGAAGCCTATTGTCTAAATTCGAATATTCAAGAAACATACTTGAAGGAAAACATCTATTAATGTTGTATTGCGCCTTAGTGGAATCCCAACTGAGATATGGCATAATAGCTTGGGGAGGGGCATATAATAACAGCTGTCGACCTATCTTCATAGAGAAGAAAATTCTTACAGCTCCTTCCATTTGCATCTTCAAATCCAGATTAAACCTACACCTATTCAGAGAAAACTCCTCCGAGCATTACTATAATACACGTAATGATGACCTTCTTAGAATTCCCCAACATTTAAGAAGTCTCCTCAGTACAATGCCATTACTTGCTTCAACAAGTTACCAACTGAAGTTAAAGGAATTAGAAGCGACATCAAATTTCAGGCAATCATAAAACACATTTTAATAGATAAGTGCTATTATAGTTATCAAGAATTCTTGAATGACAACCTCACAAACAACTCATTGTGAATTTATGTTTGTAGATATATATGTGTATGTGTGTAAATATATACCTATATTTTTAAATGGGTGTGTGTGTTTACGTGTATGTGAAATTTCAAGTTATGCATTTAATAGACCTAGATTTAGGTACCTTATTTTTACATAAATATACCTGTGTGCTTTATATATCATTTATTATATTTTATATTTTAACATTTAAATTTTAGTTTTTTAACTTATCTATGTGAAATTTCTAGCTGACGTACCATATATACAAATTGTATCATAAGTGGTAAATGAAGATATTATTATTATTATTATAAATTAGAAAACAGAATCAAACAGAAAATACAGAAGAAGGATCAAACCACTCCAACAGACAAAACAACACAACGATGGACAGCATTCACGTACGAAGGACACCAAACCAAGAAACTAACAAACATCTTCAAACCCCTGAACATCAACATCACATACAAGCCAAACACGAAAATAACACAAAAAATAAACATCTATGAAAACGAAGAAGACAAAATCCTAAACGGGGTGTACAGCATATAATGCTCTGACTGCAACAAATTCTACATCAGCCAAACCAAGAAAAAACTGATCCTAAGGTACAATGAGCACAAAAAGGCATGCATACATCCAACAGTATATAAATCAAATTTCGCAACACACGCCATACAAAACAAACATAATTTTCCCCCACCAGAGAACATAAAACTCATAAAACAAGTCAATAAGGAAAACCGTATGGACATCTAGGAAAACTTAAACATCCATAAATTCAACAGTCATAAATTACTTATCGAGAAACAAATAAAAAACACAACAAGACCTAACATTCAATATATTAAACAAAACAATACACACTTCTTGAAACAGTAAATCTAGAGAAGATCCAACAAATAGAATATTACCTGGTGTAACCCAAAATACAGGCCAATTAACCTGAAGTACCTAGAGTACCTGCACTGAGGCCTTCGCACCGCATAAAAGGACAAACAACAGGTTGACACCTTCAGTTTGAGTAAAGCCTTGATGATGACAGCACGACCAGCTGTGGAAAGCGCTCGCATATAATTAAGTAGGAGTTATAAAGCTTCAAATCCTTTTTGTGACATATTAATATTGAAATTATATAAATAAATATGATTGTATTAATGCAATACCGTACTCGGCTTCTGATTCCTTGCATTTCTAATTGGTTCCATTATCTTTCCATTTCCTCCAATAGAAACCATTTTTCGTTCAGAATGCAATATAACGTTATGAATTCAATTGAATAAATGAGTGACACTCTGTTTTTAACTATTCCATTAGTGGTGTCGTGACCAGAATAAATGAACGCGAAACCGTAATTAGATCCGTCAGTTTAACCTTCTAGGCATGTTGATGGTATAATAATTAAGACATCTCTGGAGCTCCATATGTGTTTCGGATGAACAGAGTCACGTCAGGAATTAATTGTTATGAATGTCCTCATTTCGATATTTCAGTTTCAGTTCCATTTCAGTGTTGATTTTCAAAGACGAGGGTTACTTCAAAAGAAATACGAACTTCTCAAGTGGTTATTTCAGACAGAATGGGCATTCATTATCAGTATGTTTCTAATTTACTCCAGACAACTCGATGTATCCACGAAAGCCTGAATGAAAGAGGTCAAGTTGGTGTCCTTCATACCGATATTTCTGAAACCTTCGACAAAATGAATCAATCATCTTTTGAAAAAATTTGAAATGAACAAGTCATTTATTGCTTTATTCACATCTTAATTGAGAAACAAAGTTCAACAAAGATTATCACCAAATGAGCCACAAATCCCTGACATCATCACACCGAAATGAGTGTAGTTGACATCATGGAAATGTGGCATAAGGGAGTTCAGTTAATTTCAATATTACACACCTGTTGTAGGAATGATGAATCCTGTTCACTCCTGGGAAATTACTCGAATGTAGCTTTCAGAGGCATTAATTGTAAACAAGTTTATGGAACAAGACGGTAATACTTGGATGAGCCACTGGTTTACCCCTCTTTAGTTATTATGCTGCTGAGCAGTTAATACCCAGAAACATATAGTCGATTTAATGTTCTCATACGAGGAAATATCCATCACCCTACACGATGTTCTGAATTGGTCTTAATACATCGAAGAATTAGGCTCGAAACTTTCCAGATATCTATTTCTATTCAGGCAATTGAAGAATTTTGTCAACTTGCATACTTTTTTGTCAGCAAACTATGCTTTTTTTCATTCCCACTGGTGTGGGAACTTTGCTTTGCTTCTTACTACAAAAGCGATCTATTAGAATAATGTCAAATGCCGGTTTCATATATGCTTGCCAACCCCTCTTCAAAAAACTAAACATAATGACGGTGATGACGGTATTTTCACGGCATTTTATAATGTAAACAAATAGTCTGACGAGTCATCCTGATTTCATCCAGGTTTGGAGACCAGCTCCCCTACCCTTTTGGCTGATCATTGGCCTTGAGAGGGACCAATGGGTACACAACTGATAGATGACGGCATGAAGTCCTTAGACATCAGTGCCGCCCTTCACGGGATACCCCTACCTGGCTGAGGTGGGATGGATGAAAAAGTTATTCATCCTTTAACGGGGGACATGAGGGCCTCATTCGACAGAGTGTCGGGGCCTTCTATATCGGGAGGGGTCGTCTACAGCATAATCTGTGGCTTCCCTAACTAACGGAACAAATAGTCTGAACAATTTACTACATTTTATAAGGTAATAAAATACTGTCGACAATTTACAACCCCGAAAATTGTTTTCCCAATTGAAAACCCAATAGAAAATCCTTCATTAATTTAAATTATAACACTGAACGGAATAATTATGAAAGATGAATGGTGTTTTACATAAGTTTGATGCAATTGAAAAATGAATTTTCCCGGCATTTTATAATGTATACAAATAATCTAGACAATTTACTGCCCTAAAAAAGTTTTTGAATCAAAAAAACCGATCAATAATTTTCCAGTATTTTAAAATATGATAGTGGATGAAATCATTATGAAAGATGATTAGTATTTAAGATGACTTCAGTGTACTTAAAAAGGATTTTCCAGGGCACTTTATAAGGTAATGAAACACTGTGGACAATTTACAGCCCCAAAAATTGATTTCCCAATTGAAAATTGATGTTTGATGCAAATAAAAAAATATTTTCACGGTGTTTTATCAGGTTTAGGAATACTGTAGACTGTTCGAAACTGAACGACTCAACATTTTTCAAACTTTGGATCCCAGTTTCGGTGAAAACGGTTTTTCCAGGGTTTTGGTAATGACCTTGATTGAAGGTGAATACTTTTAATGGAGTCGGAAATCAATTTCTTCTCCTGTGCGTTAAAAACAAGATATGAAATTGAAATGATATCCACAGAAATGTGCCCAGAAGAAATGAACTCTCATGAATATCAGGGACATTAGTAATTTATAAAGCGACTATTCCTGAGAGTTATTCAAATAAGTAACTCCTCATAAATTGACAACGTCATTCAACGATACAAAAATACTTGAATAACACTATTTTACTTTATCTTGCTATCACTGACGTATCTGCACTGAAAATGACTACTTACGTCGATTTGTTTCAACTATGTTCACCTTCATCTCCCAATTATTATGTGCGCTGTTCCTCATTACTCACAGAAAAATTTACCATCTGCAACGATTGCCAATGTTATCTCATTTGCATATCGTATAGCTGATATTTTTTCCGATGATATTCTTGGTTGATTTTCGGTTTTTCAAATCATCGTAAACTGATAAAACAAATCGTATGAAAACTAGCCATTCTTTTCTTTTTTAGGTTGTGAAAATGTTCATTTTGGTGGTGCTGATTTTTGGAATCTGTTGGTTACCATATCACAGCTATTTTATCTACATCTATTTTGATACGAAAATACTCTTCAGCAGATACACCCAGCATGTATATTTAGGATTCTACTGGTTCGCCATGTCGAACGCAATGGTTAACCCCCTGATATATTATTGGATGAATGCAAGGTCAGTATTTTCCCCTATATAGCTAGAAAAAAATGCAAGTTCAACATAGCAGAAAAACATAATTTTAGAAGAGCAAATGTTTCATCTCTGTCTAAAAAAAAGAGTGAACCGACTAAAGTCTTCTGAATTCAGTGTATAATCTGTTTTATACAGTGTTTTGATGGATATGTTCTCAAATTCAAAATTGTTTGTCATACCTGTCTTCAAGGCCTATGTCCTGTTCAGGATATGTCTTTGTCCCGTCCAAGTCCTGTCCATGTCATGCCCATGACATGTCCATGTCCTCTTCATGTCCTGCCTATGCCTTATACATGTCCTGTCCATTTCCTGTTCATGCCCTGCCCATGTCCTGTCCATGTTCTGTCTATGTCATGTCCATATCATGATCATGATCTGTTCATGCTCTCTTCATGTCCTATCCATGTTCTGTTCATGTCCTGTCCATGCCTTCTCCAGGTCCTGTTCATGTCGTGTCCTGCCCATGCCCTGTTAATGTGCTGTCTGGTCCATGTCCCATCCGTGTCCTTTTCATGTACTGTCCATGTCCTGTCCATGTCCTGTCCATGTCCTGTCCATGACCGGTAATGTCCTGATAGTATCTCCTCCATGCCCTGTACATATCCTGCCCATTTCCTGTACATGTCCTGTCTATGGCATGTCCATATTATGCTCATGACCTGTTCATGCTCTCTTCATGTCCTGTCCATGTTCTATTCATGTCCTGTCCATGCCATGTCCAGGTCCATGCCCTGTTCATGTGTTATCCGGTCCATGCCCTGTATATGTCCCAACTGTGCCCTTTTCATGTACTGTCCATGTCCTGTACATGTCCTTTTAATGTCCTGTTCATGTCCTCTCCATGTCCTGTCCATTTCCTATCCATGCCCTGTCTATGTAATGCCCATGTCTTGTATATGTCTTGTCTATGTAATGTCCATGTTATGTCCATATACTGTCCATATCCTGTCCATGTACCGCCCATGTCTTGTTCATGTCATGTTCATGTTCTTCAACAATACTTGTTCAGGTTTTATGTCCATTTCATAAAGGGGCTCTTCGTAAGATAGGAGGACATCACATTTTCCTACATCGACCGCCGAATGAGATTCGTCCTCTGTCTTTCACTGCATGGTAACCAGATGAAAGCATTTGATATCCAACACAGCGCTGTTTCGACCCACTATAAATCTCATCAGTGGTGCTAATTTGAATTATGAATGCAATGTTGAATCGAATTGGCATTAATAGGCCTAAATAATAAACGACGATGATATCTTTTCTTGCAAAGACACCATCTATTGGATCAACAGGAGACTAAATCCCAGGAATGTCATTAATAAACGAGGCTCCCCAACACGGAGAGTTGTGAAGCCGAGCTTTGATGTCGACCGCCGACTAGAAGGAATCACAAATACAACTTAATACTCGAACTGTTTTGAAGTTTAGGTTCAATGTTACATTCAGCCTAGCATCATAGACAATGCCTATAGTGGATCAAAACGGCATTGTGTGGTGTGTGTTTCACGAATACCTCATTTTTGGGATCTGGTTTCGACTTCACATATTCGTTCGAGAAAGTCAATAAAGTAGTAAAACTGATAAACAACCCACATAATTGAATCCTAGCTAGTAAAATCACCAAAAACCGTGCGAATTTCTTTTTCTCAGTGTATTTATTCTATTTCTTTATAGATTCCGGAAGTACTTCAAGGCAGCAATTTTTGGATGGATCAGGTACATTCAAAACAGACGTGACAGCGATGAAACTCCTCCCAACGACGAAAACCGCTCTCACTCATATTCCAGATCAGGTAAGCAAATACCTATAGTGTTGAAGTGTTGTTTACGATAATGTAGAGTTTTATTGAAAGTTATACAAATTATGAAACAACAACCACAAAAAATAATTGGCGCTCCGGGGCGATTCGATTGATTCCAGTGGCGCATTTGCTTTTTCAGCTGCAGGAAAACCCGGAAAAACCTGCGGCATCATATCATCTGATGATCTTGATCTGCCAATGTCCTCTCTTCCATAGAATAAAATGTAGGGTGTCTCCAGAGGCTCCAATAATTTCAAGATATTGCTAGAATATTTAGTGACACGACTATCGTCAAACTTAATCATTCCGTTTCGTCTTTGACCAATGCATAATAATGATCAGATTCAACGCTAGAACCACAGTGAACAATGTCTGCTTGAAGATTATAATAGTGGTATGCCAGATTGAAGTGTTCATCTATTTCGAACTTTCGTTAAATATATCTCGTAAATTCTGAGGAAAAGAATTCAAAAATATCTTGTTTCTTTGAAATCATTTTCGAAGCATTTTTTATGTAGAATTCATTGGTGACAAATATTTTGCAAATACAATGTTTACCGGTCGAAATTCTCTGAAATCACTTAAGTTCATCTCTAGACTGTAAGAACGATAAACACTCTTCTTGATTGCAGGTGCAGAGGGAACAATTAGAGTTCGCTTAAGTCGCCGTGAGAGGAACTATCACTATCAAAATGGAAGTGCTCTCCAAATCACTAGAGCTAATTTGAACGGAGACAGTGAAAGCATAAAGAGCCGCAGATGGTCCACTCGATCCAGATCTTGGAAGAAACAAATGACGACGGATTTGTAACGTCTCCTGATCGACGATCCCGGTGCGAATGATGAAGAAATCGAAATTTTTGTGATATCTTCACTAGTCTAGGAACCCAAGAGACTATACAAAACAATTATATTTTTACTCGTTGAATGAACTGATAATTATGTTATAAATAAATGTGATTTGAAAAAAGTGTTTTATTTGAGATTTTCCGTATTTTTTTAGGATTTCAATTGAAAACGAATACAGAGACAACAGGTATGAAAAGTTTTGTATCCTTGACGTCCTCATATTACTTCTTTCTCACAATATTCCCCCAAATTTTGTTCATTCAGGACAGGTTTCAAGAAAATCCAGGCTAGTAGACCATGGTCTAATGTCTAATGGAACCCAAAATACCAAACGCTCCGTCTTCTATTGCGGCAGACATCAGTAGTGAATATGTATGTTGACCGCGAGGACAAAAGTTTCATCTTGAAGTCTCATAAACGACATATGTTACTGAAGTAAGAGAAATGATCAATTTTAACAGAAAATATAAGCAGATAGGGGAATATGGTTAATACCGATTTATTTTCAAATATTTGCAATGAATGTGAGGAACTCAGCAACACCTGTTATAACATCCAATATATATAAAACAGATGTAAGTCTCAAAACACTCCAGCGGTTTGTTAATGATACGAGAAAAAACTACAATCTACCAATCTCAAAGCACATGCCAACACGAAAATACTTCGCAGGAAAACTAATTGCTTTTTGAGATTTTTTATTTCTATATGAACGCACAAAAATTCAATCAAAGCGCTCTTGACGATTAAACTAGAGTCTTGAAAAGAATCATTGCTTTCTCTGGAAAATTTTGAATTCTACCTGTTTGGCCATTTATCATAGAAATGTTCCACTTTTTTGAGTTATTACTTGTTAGCATCCAAATCAAACAGATCACTGTAATTGTATGCTATTCGTTTGTAACTAGCAGACGGTAGTATGGCAGATACACAAAATTACACTTTGTCGGTGTTTAATGCTCATTCATTGTCAATGATTGTAACGATCGAAATGTATTTCAGATGGACTATGACCCTATGAGAAAATCTATCTATAAACTCACGAAGATGTTTTTTTATCATTGTTAAATATTTCATAATATGTAGATTGATACTTTGTATCAATGAAAAACATAGTTCAATCAATTTGGTTCTATTATAATTTAATTTTCCAGAATAGGTTTTGGAACTAATCCGAGTTCGGTTTATCCAACACCGAACTGTACTGTACTCATTGACAGAAGACTTTAAACTTTGTATATAGACTAGGATACACACAGAACTATGGAGTCCTGTGAGAAAACATCACAGAATATTGTTTACTATTTTGTGTACCTGTCATCTGTCAGAGCACCAACCTAACCTAAAAATTAACGAAAACTATTTGAAAATATGTAAACAATCAAGTAATTTTTGAAATTAGTTACAAAATGAAGACTGTTAATGAGATAAATATAAACGTTGACAACTACAGAAAATTGGTCCAAACATATATCGACCTGGTAAGTTCTGCCCCCCAATATCCGACATTTACCATAGAAAAATGAACAATTTTCAGCATGTTTACACTGCCGCATTATTTTGGGCTGATAAAGTTGTAGCAATAACTGGAAACCCAAGAGATGTATACTGGCTAGCCCAATGTATGTATTTATTGAAACAGTATCATCGTGCTGCCCATTTACTGAAATCTAAGAATCTCGAAAAGGTATTATTAACATTGTTCACTATCCATTTCAAGAAATAAACTACCTTATGGTTATTTCATTTCAGTCGAATATTCTCTGCGCATATTTGACAGCTAAATGTCTGTACGATGCTGGTGAACTAAGTGAGGCACTAAAAGTAATAAACACCATTGACATTTTCAATTTCAACAAAGATGCCTCTTCTCTCTACATGTCCACCGTAGAATCTACATTATTCGACGATGCTCCAAAGAATGTAAGATATCTACCAACTCTCTTGTTCATGAAAAATCAGTTGATATATTTTAGCAATCTTTTTCGTCATATCTGTTACTCAAAGGCAAAATCCTGGAAGGAATGGATAATCGAGGATTGGCTGCTGATTGTTACCAGCAAGCTCTTCACCATGACGTTCACTGCTTTGAAGCTTTTGACTCATTGATAAAGTATCAGATGCTCACATCTGCTGAAGGTATGCTCTAGGTACCTTTTTTCAGTGTGTCAATGTACCTGATTACAATAAATTTTTATCGACTCAAAACTCAAAAATTCAATTTCAGTTGATTATACAATTACTTCGTTTTCAAATGCTAAAGGATGTTTGTAGGAATATGTACATATATGATATGATTTTTCATTGTTTGTAGAGAGTTTAAAATATGCTAGCCACAACGTTATGGTTTTCGAATGATTTGTGATATTACTATTTGTTTGATCACAATTATCTCCTGATAACGAATATTCAACTACTGTTGTATCATCAACAGAAAAGTGAAATTATCTCTTGTACCAAAGCTTAAGGAAACTCTCAGAAATTATGATCTGTTTCACATTTCTTGAGTTTACTTCGAGTCTAACTTTTACATTTTTAGTATTTTCTTTAATTTTCAAATTCTATATAAATATTTTTTTTTAACGGGTCAACTCAAAAAATTGAAATTTGGGATAATGAAATTAATGCATGAATACTTTATTTTGAAGTGAAATTGACAGATGAAACTTTCAAGATGGCGACTGAAATGGAAAGGGGGGGGGGTCTTGTGACTCATCTTTTTGAAGCTCCTGATAAATGCTTCACAACCCTAGAATATAATGTCAATATCTTCAGTTACAACAAAATGATGGAACTTTTAATAATTACCTGAATACATTGACATTTAACAACATAATAAGAGGATATTATATAAGCTTGAGGTCAGTTCAGAAGATGCTCGAAATGGTTGCCTTGAATTTCTTGACATATAAACAGCCTATCTCTCTGCATATACTGACCGCATTTTTAAGGTTCAGAAAAGAGTCATTCGCTCTATGGACAAGTCTCGTCCACTGGACTCTTGTAAACCACTGTTTAAAAAATTCAACATCCTACCATTGCCGTGCTTATACACATTACAGCTAGTGTTATTTATCTATGATAATAAACACCTATATCCAAAAAACTCTGATATACATAATTACGCTACTCAGGGTGAACATACTTTATACCACCCCTACTCTCGCTTGAGTGTGAGTCAAAATTCCCCAAAATACTTGGGTATTGAATGTTTCAATAAAATAACAACTTTTATAGGGATCAATAAAAGTAGAACTGTAATGAGGAATGAACTATTTGATTTCTTGTTGGATAACTGCTTCTACAGTATGGATGAATTTCTTGCTTTTAGTGCTTAGATAAATGACTTAGTTTATTTTATACATGTAGTCTTCTCTTTTAAGTTTGTTCAAGATCAAACATTTTTGTTTTGCTTTTAGCGTTTTACTTTTGACTAGTCCAATAAGTTTTCTCACGTATTTAGTCTTGTAATTATGTATGTGTGAAAATTTTAGTGATGAATAAAACTATTTCTATTTCTATCCGATATTTCGCGCCGAACATTTTCGAACACAGTAATGTCAATATCTCTACAAATATTTATTATTCTCTACCGTATATCCAATATTGAAGCAGGTTCAATTTCGTACACCTTTTGCTTCAAATAGACCCATAAAAAAAGGTGTCAAATCTGGCGAGCAGGCTGGCCATTCTGTAGGACCTCGACGGCTAATCCAACGACCGGGAAAAGTAGTATCCAAATAGTTTCTAACTTGTCTGGAGTAATGTGGTGGAGCTCCATCTTGTTGGAATACAATATCCATATCGAATTAATTAGGATTCGCTTCGACTATTTCAGTGATGAGAGGGTCAACAGTACTTTCCAGCATATTCAAATACAGTTCCTCTGTTAAATTTTGATCAATAAATAGAAGTCCTACAATATGGTTTCCCAATATTCAAAATAAAGTATCCATGCATTAATTTCATTATCCCAATTTTTATTTTTTTGAGTTGATCCTTACAAAAAATAAAAGTGGGGGGCATTAAAGAAATGCACTGTTTAAGGGATGATCCCGTGCAGTAAATAAATGAATAACTGGTCCAAATATTGATCCCTGAGGTACTTCACACAGTACAGTATCAATTCCAGATTTTTCTACAAAATAATGCAAATTATTTTCTGTTACTGAAATGATTTTGAAACTGTTCATAGACGATTCAGAAGTGATGATAAAATTGTATCATCAAATATTAAATCTGTTTTAAAAAAATCTGTTTTTCCGTTAATCAGCTGCCGCCCCCATACGAACGACAACTCTCAGAAGTTGAGAAACTTGTGCGAGCTAAGGACTAACGAGGTCTTACCTTTTAACGTGTGATTCCTAACACGTACATAAATGCCTAAATTGAAGGAGGTATATTTTTGGGGGAGAATAATCTTTATAAACAAAAATGTAAGAATCTTCCAGACAAAGGAAGAAAGCAATAAATTTCAAAATGAACTTTTTCCAAAATGTGTAGATCATGCAAAAAAGTAACTTTCAGACACAAATTTGAAAAAATCCTCTCTAAATGCCTAAATGCAACGGAGACAAGAGTATATACTTCATCAAAATCTATTTATATATTATTTAAAAACTGAAATGTCTATGAACTCTTAATTACTACAAACCAAGTCATTACCTTCATCAATTATAGTGAAATTCTCTAAAAATATAATAATTGAAATTTAGGTGAATAATGAAATTTCCTACAAAACACATTTTTCAATTTGTAAAAGTCACCGTTTCAAAAAATTCTGATCTTAGTTCATCATACTTTATCAGCAGAAGTTTAATATTCTTGGATTATTATTAATAACACAACACAACAAAAAAATATTTTTTGAATGTTTCCTACACTAAATTAGTCAATTTCTACTAATTTTGGGGTGATAAAAACGAAAATAACAATGAAAAATTTTTATTAGCTCTGGTTTTTGAGATACACAGTACTTAATCTTAAAGAGTAGTCATACTATACGTGAAAAGTGAAAGTACATAAAACAATATTGTTATGTTTCTTTTAGAATATTTTAAGTACTGTACTGAGATATTTTCACATCATGTTTTAGAAGATTCCACTGTTGTAGTAGTATTTAACCGTTCCTCTTTTTTTCATAAATAAACCTTCCTTAATGGGAGGAGTTAAGCAGAAATAACAGTCGTCTGTATGATTGGTAGGCTCACGCCAAACCATAGGTACTGCAAAAGCCATTGCCCGGTTTTTATTTTTCAGCCACTCTCGCAATATGACGGAACAAGAATTACAACATATATGAGGAGCCCATGATTTATCTTGGTCCCCAACTTTCACACCAAAATAATGTTCATAGGCTGTCTTAACGATAGGTGTTATTTTACGTTTCTGAGCCTTAAATTTCACCACATATATAGCAAAAGCTATCGACAGAATTCACACACTTTCGAGGCATTTCAGATCAGCACTTAAATTAATTTAAAAATCAACTTCACACGATAATTTCAATAGCAACCACGTGCGTACAATTGACAAACTCACATAGGTTATGTTTACTACTTAAGAACAGCTGATGAGAGGGGTGTTATGTAAACAAACATGTGTACCAACTGTTGGTGATGAAATATTTCATTTGTTGAAAACTCAATATACATATATATATAATATAATGATACTATATCTTGAAAACAAGAGCTAATATATAATTTTTATGGTCACTTTCGGTTTTAACACGTGGAAATACATTAAAATCATCTAATTTCAACCCCGAAACAAAAACTTTGTTGTGTTGTGTAATCTTTATGTACTGCAGATTCTCCATATCTTTCTTTGGAGGTAATCCTGTAGTTAAGATTTATACCTGTTGGAAAATAAATTACACCTTTCCATTTATCGACTTTCAGAAGAAGGTCTGCTGAAATCTCTCCCCATATCAGAGCAATGTTCGCCAGAAGAGGCCGAGATTCTGAAGACCCTATACGAGTCGAAGCTCAAGAAATACCACACACCCACCCTTCCCAAACCTAACGAAAATAGAATATTATATGGTAACACACCCTGCATATCCAACAACAGAATTTTGAACATTATGAACTTAACCCCTGACCCAACTCGATCCCTCCCCATCACTCCGTGTACCATAGTAACGCCCACCGTTAACAGTACCCCAAATGTGGCGAGGAATAACGATAGAAACTTGAAGAAAAACGAATTGCAGAAATTGAAGACCAGCAACAGTCAATCGATGCAGACGGAGACGTGTGAAAGCTCCACTTTGATCAAGTTGAGAAACAGTCTGGATTTGCAAGTTGCTGAGGCCGAGAGAATGTATTACAATTGCGACTATCAGCAGTGTAGTTTGCTGACGGAGGCTATTTTGAAAATAGATCCGTACCACGATGCCTGCCTGCCAATACACATTTCTTGCCAAGTTGAACTGAAACAGAGTAACAGTAAGTGTCGGAATTTGATTACAATATAAAACATTTGACATAAATTCTGGAGAGTTCCAAAAATCATCTCTTTTTATTACCCGTGCGAAGAAAGGTGTTTATAACAAAGGATCGTCGACCAATATTCATAAAGTCTCAACTTCTTATACCTGTTCTTTAGCATTTTTACTCCAAAAATGGTATGTAATTTCTCCAGTGGATATTTCTTTAGGAATCAATTCTTCCATCTTGAAATGTTCATCACTCTCTTTCAATTTCAATAACTATACCTCACGATTTCATCTCCATTAACTTTATTTGAGTTGCTTTCAAATTCAGCATTTGCTGTTTACTTTCATCACCTATCTTCAGGATAAGTTTCGGGGGAAAAATAATTCATAAAAATCAACTGGTTTAATTAATACTACAAAGAAAACAAAGATTTATAATTTTGAAACTCTGAAAATTTCATTCAACCATAGATTCGACAATCTCTAATGCTGTCCCAGTTTTCATTTTCGAGTTTCTAATGGAGATGTTTCACTAAACACTATCTCGATTTTATGTCCTCTTCATCAGGTGGTTTTTCGAGTATGTATGTACTCCAGTAAAGAATGCCACAACCATTTCAAAAAATGAATGTATAATTATATTCCTCACCTTGTAAATCAGAGTTTATAAATCTTCACACCAATTTTTCAAAGCAGCCAAAGTCTTGAAAAAACTATCAACGATCCTCTATTTTTCAGAATTGTTTCTTTTGGCCCACAACCTAGTTGACCTGTATCCAAACCTGGCCCTCTCATGGTTCGCAGTGGGCTGTTATTATTATATAATTGGTATGTATTGATTTTATAAATGATTTTGTGTTAACAACTACCCATTTTTTGTATAACTGGATACTTGATAAAAATCATTGTTTCTGAAAATTCTTAAAAATATCATTATTATTTTCCAAGACCGAGTGTACCAAAGAACAGTACAATATTTTAAAGGTATTTGTAGAAAATTTATCTGTGGAACGTTGAACAAATCCCAAAAATTTGAGTGATTTAGACATAATGTGATCGATATGACCTTTAAGAGTTACTTTACTATCAAACAACACTCCCAAGTCTCGAAAGCTGTTAGTCAACGTTAGATTAATGTTTTTGATTTTATATGCATATGCAATGGGTTTCACAGCTCTTGAGAATGTTGTTTGATAACATTTCTTAATATTTAAAATAAAATAAGTTATTTAAATCTATCTGGAATAGTTCTGCATCACAAAAGTTATCTACAACCCTGTAAAGTTGGGCCTATATGTTCACAGTTTTAGCTGTTTGGATTGTTTAGTTTGTTGGTGAGAGGCATAAAAGATGGAAGTGTTTTCTGTGTTCGGCAATTTTCTGTAATCGAAAAAAATTGATCAAAAAATTTGCATTAAATGTTTTGTAAAAATGGAATTAAGTGCTCGAAAACACTTGAAATGTTTACAGTGGCATACGGTGATTATACGGCATATAAATAATATATTAGAATAGAATATTTTTTGGTGTTAAAATAAAATATTATCATTAAATAAGTGTTCATTACCATTATCAATGTTATTAATTTCTGTGAAACACAATTTTCCAGGTAAAAGTGATTGTGCGAGGAGATATTTAGCAAAAGCCACGTGTCTCGATAGATTGTTTGGGCCTGCATGGCTTGCATATGGACATTCTTTTGCCATAGAAAATGAGCACGATCAAGCCATGGCGGCGTATTTCAAAGCTTCCCAACTGATGAAAGGGTAAGATCTTCTCAATGCATTTATTTCCAGAAATGTAACTAGTTGAAGTTAACTTATTGATGTAGATATATTCACCAGTAGTTCTAGAGTCATATACCATTTATTGATTAGGACAGTCAAGACAAAAACCAACACAGAAAATATATGATTGAAGTTTTTTATGAAACTATCAAATAATCATAGAGGCATACAGGCTGATTCACGGTGGATGGCACATTAGACGTTTCTGGTGAACCAGACAACGGATCACTTTGAAAATTTAATGGAGGGCATATTCGGACATTCTCTAGCCAACTAAAATATTTTCGACAATGCGGTGTTGCCGCTTCTATTAGAAAGCAGTAGCAACTTTGATTTTTCAAAGGAATCTCCAACAATTGCCCGACAACTTTTCTTGATATTTCCCTATACCTTTCTGTTACCGTTTTCGAAATAAAAATTAATTTCAGTTTTTTTCTTCGAAAATCATGACTTCTAAAAATGCCGATATCTTTTAGTTAAGAAGTACTATGATATCGAAATTTGGTTTGGAGTTAGGTGATACTTGGACACTTCCCACACGTCAGCCTAATCTCCGTTACTTCAATGCAGGGTGGTAAAAAAATACAGTTTTTTCGTTTGCTTGAAAAAGTTGCTGAAATTTGATTATTTTGAATGGAACACCCTGTATATTATTGAAAATTCGGAAAGCTGCTGAAATTTGCTTTCTTTCTATGTATATCATACCTATACCTAACTAGTCAAGTTTCGGACTTATGAACATTTATTTGTGAAAATGTCCCTTCAGAATGGTATTTCCATTCGGTATTTGGTAAGCAGGCCATGATTACTATTTGACAGTAGCGTTGTGACATTCTCCTAATAATATCGACATTTTCGTCACTTCAGAAGTTGCAAATACCTTCAAAACGATGGAACAAAACTATTCAAACGAAGTTCTTATGAATTTGTTTATTATTTTTGGACAGTGTGACAAAATTATCAGCAGAACATGTAGAAAGTTCAATGAAATGTATCCGAATCTACCGCCAATGAACCTCAAGAAATTTATACGAATTCAGAACAATAAACCCTTTCCAGGTGTCATCTCCCTCTATTGTATATCGGCTTAGAATGTGGTCTAACCAACAATGTTCGATTGGCCGACAGATTCTTTCAGCAAGCACAGAACATTGCGCCAGACGATCCTTTCATCATGCACGAAAAGGGAGTTATTTCCTTTCAAAATTTGGAGTAAGTTTGGTAATCCTTCTTTCAGAACTCACTTCTGAGGAACTGTTTTTTTCAGTTACGAATCTGCCGAAGTTCACTTCAGAGATGCTTTGAGAAGGGTGAAAAAAATCAAAAAAGGCATCGTACCTCAGAGGTGGGGCCCTCTGTTGAATAACTTGGGCCATACTTGCAGAAAATTGAAGAAATATGAAGAGGCGCTGGAGTTTCACAACCAGGTTAGTTTCTGAGATGTATTTCAAAAAACTAATTTGTTCTGACAAAAATACATATCATCAAACGTGACAACACAATACATTGAAACACAGTGCATGCTATAATAAACCTTCGCACTTTCCTGAAAAAATATGTATAATCAATACTGGGTAGTTCTATAACAATATGGTCCATTTATCAGAAAGTAGCACCCAAATATTTTCATTATGAAGAAAAATCAAAAATAATTGTGACGTCACTACAATTGCGACTTGGCCTCACTTTCAAACCAGTTTCAAAAATGTATATGGTTTTTATCAATGAGAAAAAAATACTTGAATAAATATACGACAAAACTATTCAATCGGTATTACTCGGTATTTTTTTCTCAACCCACTTCAATGTGACAAATTTTACAAAACATTGACACGTGTTTATATCGGACGAACCGGAAGAACTTTTGCCGAAAGAGTAAAAGACCATATAAGTAGTTTTTTCAGTGGGAAGGCGAATTCATCATTTGAGAACCATTTTTTGACAGAGGGGCAGAGCTCAATCACTATTATGATGTTAAAGAACGGTTCAAACAGTATTGTGACGAACAAAGGTGCTATTGTCTAGAAAAACACGTGGTTATGGAAAATTTCAAGTGGAAATCTCACATTAAAGTGTATTTTTCGAATAACCTATAATGGATTTTCATCAAGTATGGTCAGTTCTATCATATGTTCGTTTCTTAATATGAAATGCTTCCTAGTTTTGCAACTAATCATTAAATTGACCACAAAAACAAGTTGGTAATGTCTCACGCACAGTCTGAATGATGAGAATTCAGAAAGAAAATTAAATTATGCAATATGAATAAGTTTTACGGTGTTGACAAGTTCAGATCGACTGTTTTTGACGTCACGACCATAGTTTTTACTCGATTTGAAGAAAAGACTGGCCTGAAAATTGTTAGGACTATAAAACGAGGTACATGTAGTTTTCAACTGTGCGGTTATGTCAATGTCAGGTGTAAAGGTTCACTATTAAAAAAGTAATCGGTAAGGTATTCCTGCGAACTATAATATCGTATTTCAACTGAAAAACTCATCAAATTATTCAAAAGGATTAGAAAACCCCAAGTTCCCTAGGCAAAAGGTTGAACAATTTTATAATTAATAATCAAGCTATATCCGAAACTCTCAAGCTAGTTGAAAACACATTCTTTTGGTTAACCTATAATCTCATTTTTACCCTTGTTTTCTTTTCCATTAATTTGACTGTATTACATTTGATTCGTCAACATCACACCAGAATAATTATTATTATTTGCCTTCACTATAAAAGATGACAGTCTGAGACTATGATTTCTGTTTCTACTGATATATTCAATGTGAATTTGGACTATGCTTCCTATGACATCGGATCAAGGGCAAAAGCTATACATTTCTCAAACCCTTGATTCTTTTAACCAACTTAGAAGGCTAGGTGGTACAGCCTAGAAGCAACTTATCGCCTCCCGGGGAGCAGGGTATCTTGTGAAACCATCTTGCACCAAATTCTAGAGCAACAAAAGCAGAGTTTGTATTAGGAAAGGGATAAACTTCCTCTGAGCAAGTCAGCAATCTAATGTATCGTCGGGTATATAGCTAACTCACTTATGCCCTCTCATGAGAAAGCTACTGAGTTATTTCAGTATGCCATTATGGCTACCATAGAGGATATTCCAGAACTGCATATTTCGACCTGGATTGCTATGGGTTATCTGTGAGAAAACTGACCACCAACCAAGTCCCACTACATTGAGGAAAATGAAACATGGTCTGTCAACTTTGAAGTGTATTATTGTTCACAGGGAAATTTCTGACCCTGATAGCAGAGTACATACTCTTACTCTTGCCAGATAACCTGGGAGATCACCACCAAATGAAGTAATTTGGTGATGGTAGTGAAAACTGGATTCATTTAGTCGAGTTTGAATAGCACAATCCTACACTTCAAACTGTTGGGGTTGACTAGCCCATTCACTTGGACCTAACTACCAATATCTATAGGAAATTCATTAAACTGTCTTCTGGCTTTCTAAATCAGATGATTTCAGTTTAGTAGCTCCAGTGAGTTTTTGACTTACCGAGAGGCTGTGCTATCTCAATGAAAACAGCTAAAACTGAGACATGTTGATTCTAGTTAAATTGTGAATATACAGAAAAGCAGATTGGGGCCTTACATTGAACTCTGTGGCATACCAGTTTCAATTGCTCTCCTCTTTGACAGTTTTATTATTTTTAATATTACACCCTGCGCCCATATCAAAATTTGATCAAATATGGAGTGTTCTAAACAATGGCGTATATTGTAACTGTTAAGAAACCAGTGTTTTCGATGAATCATTGAGACTCTGCATTATTATGTTTATTAATTTTTTAGGCGTTGTTGCTAACCCCCCAGTCCTCCAGTACATATTCCGCATTAGCTTATGTTCATGTACTGACAGGAAACTATGAACAAGCAGTCGAATGGTTCCACAAGGCTTTAGGGCTCAAACGGGATGATACCTTCAGCACGACCATGCTAAATTATGTTCTAGAACAGCTCATCGAAGAAAAACCGCCATATCCAGGCAAGTACCATTATCTACATTGTCAATCTGATCTTTCGTTTTATTTGATTGAATTTTCTATTACAGACTGTCCAACTGAAATTCCGAAATTCAATATCAGGTCGAAAGTATCAAATACCGTTGTTAGTGAGAACATAACCGAGGACGCGAGTTCCGTCATACCAAGCGTTAATAATGACATGTCCGATATGAGCATGAGTATAGAGGTAGACATGGATGCAAGTGATATAGTTAAGGAATGAATCTGAATGAAGTTGTTTCAATTTGAAATAAAATTTAATTAAGTATCAATTTTATTTAAAATTTCTTTGTTATTCGTTGGGTAATGTGTAAAAAAAAAAACATTACAAAATTGATTAAAAATGAATAATTTTGGTGCATCTAAACAGTAGATAAATATTTAAGTTTCCAATAGATGCTGCAGGCATCTATTTTACCTATAGTGCGGGGGGTGAGGTGCAGCCGAACGTCGTGTGTTAGGGGGTGCCTTTATTTGTGAAAATGGAGTGGTGCGTAGTGGTATTCTAAGAAAATTGCAAAACATTTACGCACACGAGTGCCCGTTACGTGCAACCGCTTGCTTACAGTGTATATCCATAGAGCAGGAGTCTCAATTTTATTTTGACATGGAACCCTAATGGGGAATGTTCCTCCTGACGAAAATCAAGTAGTTTTCATAAAAAAGCTCTAAAACAACGCATTTTAAACTTATCATTTCAACCTTTTTCTTTAAAAAATATTCAAGTACTTAAAAAAAAGACTGAAATAATGCATTCAACATTTAAAGGGATTCGTTTCTATTTCACCATTTGGCAACATCGGTTATTGCTAATAAAGGACAATGAATCTGTTACCTGTATGAGACAAACAAAGATGACGTATTTCAGAGGCGTGCTGTTCTGTTTACTTATGTTCCGAGTTCCCAGACATTCTGTAACTTATGACATTTTGTGCACCTAACCTATCTTCCTCTATATAAATAAATAACAAAAGAACTGTTATTTATGTGGAGGTGATATTGAACTATAATTTATATTTTGCCTTAATTGTTGATTTATAAAGATAATTTTCTTTTTTTTTAATAGATTATCTGGGTACATATAAATTATTTCAACTTGATATAGGTGCTGTTGCCAATATGTGAATTAGAAACGAATCCCTTTGAAAATTAAAACCCAACATTTGAAACATCAATTTGAATACTTTTCGAAGTGAATTTGAAAAACTTATAAATTAAACTCAACTTTATTTTATTCAAACTTGGATTTGCTGTAATAACCCAAATTGAGGAACATTCCCCATTGAGCATACATTTTTTGACAGAACTCCAGCTGGTAATTTTAATAACTAGTGTTAACCTAGTAGTTTGAATATTTTCATGTTACGACTCAAAAAAAAATCGTTAATGAAATATGATCATTATAATGTATTAACTATTCAATGTGAAGATTGAAATTTCTCAATGTATTTTCTTATATAAGAGTAGTAATATCAGGCTTTATGTCCGACAGTTAGATGCGAAGATCCAAAGCTACCTCCAGTCTGTTTCTGTATTTATTTTTTGTGTAAGTGTTAGCTGAAAATTCAGTCTCGCATCGGTAAGTCATCACAAATGGAAGCAGAATCATGATAGATTTTTCAACAAGTGCGTGAAGCCCCTGTGATCCTCCTACGGAACCCCAGGGTCCCGCGAACCACCAGGATCCTGCGGATCACCACGGTCCTGCGGACTACCAGGGTTCCGCGGACCACCATTTAGAAATCTAGGCCATAGAGCATACGCTGTGCCGGTTGCGGCGGCAGCGCCAGGCGTGATGAGGAGCATAGCCATCTGAGCACAAAAAGGGACGAGGTGAGGTGAGGCCGAACGGTTGCCTCGTTTGTAAATTTTTTTTGGCGCCTTCAAGGACTACCAAGGCATCCGATCTATCTGTGCGGACATTGAACAATGATCCTTCAAAATGGAGGACGTCGACTGTTTGATGGTGGTCGCCGGTGGATGACATCCTTATACCGATATAGGTTGACCACCAGAGAGGTCAGTCATTTTTAAATAGTATGATGTACGAGAAAGAAAATGGTTACTTCTACGTTTTACCAGAATTTCTTCTACAGACTTCAACTTTAATCCTCTATTTCAATAATATTATAATAGAATATGTCGCTTTTTTCCATTAAATGGACCGTTTTTCGTACTCCTTGATGAAACTTGAGTGTTTTTTCTTTAAACTGTCGACTTTAACATGCGTCGCACAACAGTAGGAATGCAGTTTTAGTTATTTAAGGTTTGTTCTGGTTCTAACATCCGAAACTGTTTGGAAACTGCGCAGACAAGATGCGTACAAACAAAAAATCTCAAACAGTCCGAAATAGTCTCGGACACTTGGTTAAATCAAAACGCATTTTGAGGAGACTACTGTGCCACCTATCGTATATATAAAGAGATGAAGACGAGAAAATAATACTGTTGATTATGTCCATTTTGTTATGCAGCGTATCCTTGTAGCCAGTTCAAATGTTATCTAACCTCAATCACCAATTATTAAAATCAAATAAATAAAAAAACTTCCTAGTAAATAGCCCAAACAAATTTCTACATGAATGCCCATGAGCAACGGGAACAGTTCTCAACAGTTCAGCATCGAGAGCAAGAACGATTCGGGTCGGTTCAAGACAGTTTAGGATCATTCCGCTGTCGAAACCGAACTTATCCTCAATAAACCAGAACGCTCTATATCAACTGCGCATTATCCTGACGTCCTAGAACCTGAATTTCGTAGAACCAGAACAAACCTTAAAGGTTTTAGTTTGACGCGCCTGCAACACACGTCCAACATACGTATGATCGTTCGCATTCGCCTTGCCTCGGTCCCGTTCGTGCTCAGATGAATACGCGCCTTTACGGTTGACGCCGAACGAGGTACTAAAGTAAGCAGCATAACTAGTCTCTTTTACTATTGGTTCCTACACAGTTACTTGTGTTTCTACATGAAAACCGCCTTGAAACGGTTAATTGTAGTTTACATTGGCGTAGTTTATATTTTTGAAATAACTACCTATATGTTGTCCTTTTTTATTCTTGTAACCCCTTCTTTTCTGAACGGGCCAGTCTATCTCAAACTTCCTCAAATAATTTTCAAATTTCCCGGCCAAAAAAAGTTTATCGTGACATAACAAAGATATTAGGCTTACGGCAACGCATTTCAGCGAGGTTCTGAGTTTAGTCGATCGTGGCGTACTGATTTCATTTGACCGCGCATTTTGATACAGGAGAGCACCGGGGTATTGATTGCCCACGGGCGCTACATGGGCTGAAGCCACCCCTGGTTGCAGGAATAAACAAAGTTTCATGTTTCCCTTGCAAAAAAGGTTTTACCTTACATAAAATTCCTATGACTTCAGTATTTTCATTATATTTAGAATTTTGGCAATATTGAATCATTGAAAAAAATATCCTCATTCTAATAACTCCTGCATATTCAATAATAAGATATTGCTCTGCTAGGAATCGACTTCTGAGGGAGAAGGAAATTTATCGTAAATCATTCGAGCGAGTAAAGAGCATTTTTCGCAAGCAGAATACTATACTCTTTCTATGACTTGTAACAGAAATATTTCAAAATAAGATTTATTCGTGAAAGACATTCCGAAGGAGAATAACATCATTGAATACCTTAATAAGGAGCAACCTAAAAAAGCGTTAAAAATATTTCTAATTTTTGCTATTTTATTAAATTCCAACAAAGATAGAAAATTAACCAGAAAAGAGTAAATTCGTCTTCATTTATGTCCACCCTTTTTCCAAATTATCTTTTCGTTTTCAAATCAGTAAATAATTATGACAACACAAGTACATTTAAGCTATTCACCAAGCCAGTCCGCCCCTGTTCTAATCCCAGCAGCAAAAATATCTGAAAATCATAGTGACCAAATGGAAATCGCACTTGTTTTTATGCAATTTTTTATGTCTTCGTGCTCGCACATCTTCAAGACGCAGTGCATGTGTGTTTCCCCTCTTCTATGCCGGTGAACGTGCTACGCACCAATAGAATACGGCGCCTCCCCTCCTAGCCGGGCGAAAGATTTGTTGTTCTCCGATTTTGAGGCATTTCTGCGTTCTTCCTTTTTCTGAGAATTCGTTACAAATTCTTGGTAAGTGGTGTTTTGTTGGAAATTCATTTGTTGTGAGCAGTGATTGTTTTTATGTATTGACAATATAGTTGGTTATAAGGGAGTTCGAAATGCCGGCCTTACAAAAGGTAAGTCGTTTCAGTTTCCTGCTTTTAACAACTTTTTAACTGGAATATTTCCGAAGTTAAGTACCTACCTAGTATTTTTCAAGTATCTGAAGTTTTTGTACAGTATACCGTTTTGCAAATGTTTTTTTTCATGTGCATTAATTTATGTTATGCGAAGTCCTCTGGGGAAAAACTTAAGGTTTAATACAAAAGTTTTGATTACCTACAATACTACCCCGTTAGCAGGACAGGAATCAGGCTGTTTGTCACTGCAGACAAAACTATAAAAGTGCTTTGTATTGTAATTCGGTGGCGTCCTGTTTTATTTCTAGATAATTTTTGCCTAAGTAGAGATAAATAATTGGTCATTTTTCGAAAAATATGATATTTAAATGGAAAGCATCGACATGAAAGTAAATGCTAGGCCACCAAACTCTCACTGTCCTACTAAATTGGATTAATGGAATCAAATATAAACTCATTTCTGTCACCTATGCTAAATATTAAAACTTTGCAAGGATACTTATACAGAAATTTACAGGTTTGATTCGTGGTTGAGTGGAGCGCGTCTTTTCGATAACTCACCTTATCGTCAAGACCAAACTTCTGTCTTTTGCTGGATTACTATATAAGTTTGTATTCCACTACATTGTTCTATTTTGTAGTCTGGGGCAATAAAATCTATTATTATCTGCATATTTCGATTATGACAGTAATTAGACCTTAACACTGAGATAAGACAAATGGATATGATGATATGACATCATGTCATGATGCTATGAGTTTTCGTTGAAAAATGTAAATTTATCTGTCAAGTTTTGCGTTATTGTAGTATCGTAAAACAGGGTTACTTTGAACCACGTGGCTACTTTGAAAATATAAATTTTGTTATATTGACTCATAGTAGTTGCCACTAAGTAGTTGCCACTACTCAATTCGTCACACATTTAGGAATGGTATAGTGACACTGGTATTTAAATATTTTTTGTGAAGTTGATAATCCTGACAAGTCATTTCTTACCTACAAAATTGACGTTCGCTGAGTCCTGCAAACTTTTGTTGCTATAGTCGTATTTACATTACCTATCTACATGTTTAGTAAATATACATTTTTTTTCGTAAATTTTTTATCAGAACAATGTGCTTAGATATCGTTTTCGGGGTTAGTTTGAACGCGTTCAATATAGATGAAGCACCCTCAGAATATGTTGGAGATATAAAACTAGATAAATTTTATTTGGTTCAGTTTAAAGTGAAAGCTCTAGTCTATCATTGTGTAGGAAAAGTTATTTCCATTGATGACTTAGAAAACCAAAATGTTGAAATTACATTTTTAGGAATGTCGCCTAAAGTAAATTATAAGTTTTTCTGGCCTCGAGTACCCGACGAGGGAGTTATACCCATCTCTGAATTATTAACAGCTCTGCCAGACCCCCAGATAGACAGGACAGGGGCCTTTTTGTTTGGTGACGATCATCTTCGCCCATACCTGAAGAGTTTGCAATAGATAGTTTAGATACATTGTTTTCTGGGTACCTCCGTTTTTTTAAAAAGTACAATTATTGCCAAATATAAGTTCAGTCCCGTCTATATCAGGTATATTTTGAAGGAATACTGCTGTTTTTTCATGTATGTTTTGTTACAATGAGTGCCTTATACTGTTTGTGAATAATAAAATACTTTATTTTATGTAAATTGTGTATTTATATTACATAACTTTTTTTTTTGCTCAAAAACAAGGTTCTTCTAGTTTTGAGGTGTTCAAAGAAACCTTATCTAAAAGGTTACATCGGTTTCATTATAGGCGTTCAAAGAAACCCCGACTGTGGGGTTACTTTGAATACCCATAAATTAATTTAAAAAAAATTGTTATTGATAATTTTAAATTCTTATTTTTTGTCAGTAGAAAGGTCTAACTGACGCCCGTGACATATATTTTTTTTGAAATTTTTCATTCGCTGCCTTACTTGAGATATATAGATTTAAAACAAAAAACCGTTCAAAGTAACCCCGTTTTATGGTATTACTATTTGTCTTGCCTTAAAAATCGACATTAAAGGTCATACAATTTTTTTTAAACTCGGAATAAGAATTTCCTTTACATACGCATTATCTGTTTAAATAAAAATCTGTCTAAAATCTGTTACGAACGACAACTCTCAGAAGTTGAGAAACTTGTGCGAGCTAAGGACTAACGAGGTCTTACCTTTTAACGTGTGATTCCTAACACGGTTGCAGAATCATCCCAGCTTCAACCAGATACATTCTTTCGAGAAAAATATCTGGTCCAGGCAGGAATCGAACCCACGGTCTCCCGATCGTGAGTCAGGCGCACTACCACCGCGGCCAATTCCACAATTATAAAGAAATTAATATTCTTTCAAAACTTTGATAAAATATGGAATAATGAAAATACCGCTTTTTTTGTTATTTCGAGAAAAAACTCATTTTTTTGAACGACATAGCCAAAATCATTTTTTCTATATTTTCTGGAAGTCACTCTCTGTGTTCTTCATCGAAACTGTTGAAATTAATAGAAACCGACAAGATAACTATCTTCGAATTGTATGAGAAAGTAGATTATTTTTCGACAATTGTAACATTCATTTATTTCAGGAAATATTTTTGATAGAGATGAACATTTTTTATGTCCTACTTTGTTTAAAAAATGAAGAGAATTTTCATTTTTCTACCATAGGCGTGCGCTCCTATAAAAACGAAATTCAAGGACATCATAGAAGATTTTGTGCTAAGTTACTTATAACCAACTACAGAAACTTAAAACAATAATTACAACATCGAATAAACTAAACACAATATCAATTTCAGACCGTTTATTATAACTAATCCGATGCCCGTGGGACCGTCGAATCCTTCGATACTACAGCACTGAACGTGTTGGATGAGAATCTCATCCTAAGAGAGGTTGAAGGTCCTCGGCAACTCGGGCGAATCACGTGGTAAGAGAGCCTATTGGTTGTATTATTCTGATGTGGTACGACCATGTGGCAAGAACGCTGATGCATTACGCCACGGTAATTGAAGAAAACAGTGAGCAAAATCCTAACATTTGGTCGAACTCGGCGCGTGCTTTTTTAGTCTGGGCTCTTCTAGGCTCTTCCATTGGGACGATTAGTCTTTGGTTTCGATGTCTTAACCATATACCCATGAATCGTCACCAGTCATGCCCTTTGTCATGCTTTTAAGCAAATCTGGATCGCCATTGACGTCATTCAACAATTCCTGGTCAAAATTCAGCATATTAGGAACGAACTTCGCTGACACACGCGTCTGCGAAAGTCTTGAGTTCTTGTGAGTGACCCGAAATCAACTGCCTCGTATTCTCCTGCACACTCTCACAGACAGCGGCGATGTTTTCGGCAGATCTTGCGTTTCATCGACGGGTGTTGGTCGGTTGTTTACTGGACCACTAGACTCAAATTTATCCACCACATTGCGAACAAATGACATCTGATTTGTCAAATGTAGCTTCAACAAAATGGCAGTTATCAATTGATTGTGAAATTTCGATAGTCCCTGTTGGAAGACCCTATTATCCTGCAGTATCATTTTTATCGATTTTGCCGGTTTTTCTGGACGGATTATTAAAAAAATCTTCATCTGATTCAACCTAGACCTAACTGCATCTATGTCGTTGATGAAGCTAAACCAGAAAATTGCTGTTTCTCCGGAAAATCGGGCAGTCGAGCCCAAAGCAAAACGACTAACTGCATTCGAGAAAATAATATTTTTATCGGACGCCGGGCGCTGACCATATCGTTAATGGAATGATCTGGACCGTGATATTAAGTAAACCGCTATAATGGGATGATTTGTGTTTGGCCTATTGCTGTAAGAAACAATACCCTTCTGCATTTACATCGAAACTCGCTCGGTCGTTCCTCTCGAGGCTAATTAATTTTTCATTTAATTATTACGGTTGTTGACTGCAGAACACAAAAACCCTCCAGGATTATTGGTGTTGGCACCTCTGACGATCAGGAGCGGCTCGATACTTTCTTTCTGGGGGGATGCATGGCCGATGCCTATGGCGCTCTGAGAGCAATGCCTGTGCGAAAATGGCGATATGCGTTGGATTCATAATAATAATAGAGTTTATTCATCAATCAAAGATTATACAAGGCATTGCACATACACACGTGTATTAAACTTATCAGACTAGTTAAAAAAAGATGGTTATCTACAAATAATATTGTCACTATTTTCAAGGTTTTCTTTTCGATGACGTCGAAGATATACAGTGCATTTGTTTAATGTCCCCTCCCCTTTTATTTTTTGATGGGATCAACTCAAAAAATTGAAATTTGGGATAATGAAATTAATGCAGGAATACTTCATTTTGAAGTGCAATTGACAGATGAAACTTTCAAGATGGTGATTGGGCGCCATCTGGAAAAAAGATTAAATAGAAAGGGAGGTCTTGTGACATCTTTTTGAAGCTCCTGATGAATGCTTCACAACCCTAGAATATAATGCCAAAATCTTCAACTACTATAAAATGGCGGAACTTTAAATAATGCTTTGGTGAATTTTCACAGACTGATAACCATGCATAGGGTTGTCGAAGTCTTTCTTTTTTCCTAGTATTATACATATTATGAGTGTCTTCATTGGCTCAGTTTATTTTCTTTTATTGTACATAATCAGCTCAAGAATATACAAACACGAAAGGGTTAGTATGTGGAGATTCATGAATGAAGGTTTACATGTTGTAGTTGGATGAGCTTGACACATTGGTCTTATTATCCAACACCTTTGTCCAATTTCCACTAATTATTTCATTTTTACTACCGGTTCCGGGTTTTATCCAATTAACAAGTACAAAAACTAAGTTAGTTTTCAATATTCGTTTTGCAATCAAGTTATAGCATGCAGAAAACATGTACCAACTTCAAATCTCGAGGTGGTGTGTGGTTGTACCAACTCCAGAGGAAAGGGGATCCTAAGAGATGATAGAAAGACCTCTACTTGGTAAAGAAAATGCAAATTGATCAAGTTCCATCAGAATCAGTGGAGTTAGGAGTTTATTTAAGGTTCTGTCAGTGCAACTAAAAATGTTTTATGTATTTTCGAGTCATTGAAGAAGATCTGTTAGTCAACTAATGGTTACGTTATTATTTGGGACATCTTCTTTGTCCCTTTCAAGTATAGGCTGAGGTAATTACATGCTCGTATTTTTTCAAGTCAGTTTCGGGAAAGTTAATTTGCTCTTGGTCAAAACAAACTTTCATCATCCAAATAACGATAGATAGTAGTGATTTATTGACTTCATAAAAACTGCAGTCCCGTCATTTTGACAACTACAGCTGCTTCAAACAACGCATTGATCTCGACTAGATATGATTCAAGACTATAATTTCTAATGATTTCTTTGCTTTGTTCAAGGTTTTTCACCCATCACCAAGAAATGACTGTCGTGGATACGCCGAAATTCTTCAAAGGCATTCCATCAATTCCTTGTTGGATCAACCAGAGATTCTGTCGCCTACTAGAGGTTAGTATACATTTGTTTGCTATGGTTTGCAACTAAATAAGTTTTTCATAAGGTACTTAATAACTGCCTATCCTATAAGGTCTACATTTCTAGCTAGGCAAAATAACCCACTTGCAAATAATTCATAGCTTCTGAGCGCTAAAGTAGTATTGGAATTGGACTATAGGGGGTTCATGGACGTAAAAATAAAATGGACGGCATTCGAAGTCGGCGTTCGGGTATGTTCTGCGGTCAAATTGTTGAGCTGGGAGTTGTCATATCGAATCTGTGATACTTTATCAATGTTCACCAACATTGACCTAAACCTTATTGTCAAGGGGTTCCATTCAGTAACTCAAAATTACGACCAAGAATAGCAGAGCATGTTTGGACTCATCAACGCAGGATCAAGTAGTCCCAAGCTGAGATCATTCTCAGAGAGGAACAATGGTTCAAGAGGAAGTTCAAAGAAGCTGCATATAAGTTGTACAAGACGCATTCAGTCAAGCTAGCGTAGAGATACGCAACATATGGAAACCTTCGATCAAGCGGAAAAACGATCAACTCCCATTAAACCGGTGAAGCGGAGAGAGGGAAGAGGGGATAGGTGAAAGCGATACTAAGAATCTTTTTAGTTTATTGTAATTCCGACATTCCGTTAGTCTTTAGTATTGACACCGGTTATACTCGCGAATTTTTGGACTACTTCCTCCTTACTTTTTATTTCGGGCGGATATTGTTTTCTTAAAGAATTATATACATTCATAACAATTGTTTTTTTTTCATTTATATTCAATGGTGACAATTTCGGACGCTTCACGATTCCCGAACAACTAGCTTCCATGTTGTATAGCTGTTTATTCAACGCGCTCTCGAAGTAAACTGAAGAATATCACGAATAACCCGCTAAAAAGCCAAGTCGGTCTTATTGATGGGTGCGATGTGTCTGTTGACAGTATAATTCAAAGGAATATCTATTTATACCGACTTCGAAAAAGCAATGTTTTTTCGATTCCCTTCAACTGAATACCTATTTGTTGGAGAATGTCTTGGTTACTACCGGACATATTTTAACATTTGTCATAGTAGATTTGTTATTTTGTTTGTTATGAATGATATTTTTCAAGAATAAATATTGTATTTTCGTCGTTTAAATTCATTTATTCAATATATATTGTTGTAGTCTCTCTCATTTCTGAACAGATCATAGTTTCTCACGTCCATGATGGGGTTATGTTGATTTTGTAGCTACTTGAAGTTTCTTCTTGTCTGAATTACTACGTGATCAGCGATCGCTAGACATTTAAAGCTCCTAAGTATATGAGCATTAGTTCATTAGATCAGATGAAGAGACAAAAATATTTAAGTTTTCGTTAACAACATCTGATGATGCTAACTTGATTAGCAAAACGCGCGTTGAGAGCCGGTATTTTCGTTCTGGTGTGGTTCCGAATATCATTTATCACAGTTGAATGCCCCTGTTAGATCTGTAAATATTCTAAAACAGGGAGAACAAAACCCTATGAATTTGTTATACAATTTTTACACCACATGTGTTTCAGGCCTGAACAAACTTGATCTTCACGAAAGTGGAAACTTGACCACTTCTAATGAAAAATATTCATGAAATAATTAATCATTAGTCCGTCTTCGCACATATTTTCGACCTGGTTAGTATGTAGGTCGAATTATTATCTAGGCATCCTATACCACCATATCTTGTGGCAATTTTTAACGATTTGCGTAATTATTGTTATTATTCTTGGTTAAGTAACGTTCATTATCGCCATTTTCTTAAGTAATATTATTACATTTGGAATTCTTATTATGCTTTCACGAAGAATAGGTGTTTGAAAAATGAAATCGATTTCTTTTAATAACATATCAGTGATTGATTGAGACGCTGATTAAATTCTTAAACCGCATTGTCTGTTATTAATTGAAGGAATATATAGTTTGAAAAGTTCTGTGTCAAAATATGTTCGGAAATATAACAACTGAATTCTTCTTCATGTTTACAAGAACTGTGTGACCATTCCTTTCACCGGACATGAATCATATTGAGCGAATTTTAGCCAAAATATCTAGACAATTAAATATGATCCAAAGTTGAGAATAGCCAACTTGAGAGGCTCTACCTCAAGGATTTATCATTTGATTACCGATGGACCTTCCTATCAGAATAACCTAAAAGAAACATTCCATGATGTAATTTTTTTCATAAAATATAATAATCATAAAATATAATGATGATTTATTATGGATATTCAAGCAGCACCAACTTGATTTCACTACAGGTAATTCAAATAATCGATTATTATTATTATCATTACAAAACTCGAATATATACATTCTAATATGCCTTATACTGTCAATTATGATTGTCATGATCACTTCGCAAGAAAATCAAACCATTTAAAAACCTTTCAAATAAAAAGTGAGGTTGGTAAACACTCATATGCTTCACAGCATTAAAATTTACCTATAATAGTCTACCAGAATCCATAAAAACAACAATTAAGCCACTAAATTTAAGAAAACTGTTACAGAATATGCAATATGTATTTTAGAAAGTAATCAATTTAATGAACATGAAACACTTTTGGGTTTCACCTGAATCTACGGAATATTATTTTTTTAGTAATAATTATCATATTTGTTCTCTTGTATTCTCTCCATAAAAATGTTGTGTATCTTGGGATTTTTATTATTATTATGCTTTAATATTCATTTCGGTTGTTGAGCAGTGTATTAGTTATTCTCGGGGAATCCAGTATTTTTATTTATACTTCGAGAAATAATTGTGTCATTACTCTATTTTCATTGAAAATCATTCAGTAAAACAGAAAGCATACTTAGGTAAATAATGATCATTCAGACTGACAAAAGCATTTATGACAAAATATGGAATGAGAAGGAAATGTCCTGAAACAAATAAATATTTATTGAAATCCTATGAAAATATTCGCAAAAAACGGACGCTGATATGTCGAAGGTTGAACGCCTTTGCAAAACCAAGTAGGCATGTTGTCTTTTTGCGAGCGTACTTGTCAAAAAAAGCGAGAGTGAGCTGTGAGTTTTTACGAAACTTCATTCTTGTTGTGCTAATAAATGAGAACGCATCTAATGTGCTCAGTAATTTGACTTAACTTTTTAAACGTTTAACTTGAGTTTTTAGGAAGTTTTAATTATCAATAATTGCCTATTGAATTGTTATGGCAGGTGAGACCATGTCGTCGATATCGGATTTGTTGGGACTGAACTCCCCGCGAGGATTAATTGGATTGAATTTTGGAAACGCTTCCAATGACCTGCAACAATGCACTTGTACGCCTCCAGCTACTTCGCCGAACTTTCAGGTAATTATATTTTTTTTCTCCAAGTTATGCCACCAGCATTGTTCGGAAAACAGAATTTTTTCCGACGAATATCGAAATATTTCTTTTAGGGATAGTTTTTATTGATTTCATCTCCATGCCTTCTGTTGAGCTTTGTTGCCAACATCGAATGATATTTCAAAGCCTGATTAGATTAATTGGTGCTTTGAAATGTCTTCATGTTGGGGAATCATGACATTATTTAATGAAACTATTAGGAACCCGGCCAAATTCGAAAATGCATGTTTGTTGGTATATATTCATGTTAGAATACAGAAGATTGACTATCACTGTGTCCGATTTTGTACAGAGTGTTGCTTTATTTCTGTGTGGTTTTTCTGTGAGAGTAGGTTTTGAAACTGACATCATTATCATTATTTTTTGTTTGGTTTCTGCATTCATCCCATTTATAACCTACAGGGTGATAAATTTGAATATATTTCAAGCTCCTATATCAGATATGTGTACTTTTTCTACGGGTTTGATGAGAAAATTTGCATAATGTATACAGAGGGGGATGATATGTTTTGACTTTATAAAAAAAAAGGCTAAATGATGTCATTATTGGTTCAATATGTCTGCTAAGCACCCTCGAGGGTGATTCTGTTTGCTACTGACAATAATACATTTCTGAATGATTCTGTAACTTAACATGACTGAAAAAATTTAAATAGAAACGTTGGAATAATATACTGAAGATAAAAGTAGTTATTTTCTGTGCTGATAATGAAATGCTGTTCATATTCAACAAAATAAATGTTTGGCTTCATAAAGAAGCACAAACAATTACTACATAGATTTAATTTATTACATATGATATGAAAATATATTTTGGATGTTAGTGATGAAAAATGTATTGAAAAAATTGCAATCATATATTAGTTGTAAGAGTGATGAATGAACATGTAAATATTTTGGGGCAAACATTCAAAATATGATAAACTCACTTCAATTGAATGAATAACAATATAAGTGTTCTACGAGGCGCTGTTCTGGGGCCCTTGTTGTAAGTGATAGGTACAAACAATATCTACATTTCAAAATATTGGACCTGTAAAATTAAACGGTTTCATGATTACAAATGTGGATAGTTAATGAATTGGTGAATTATATCGCTATAAGGGATTCTAGTTAGATTCACTTGGATAGTTGTGATTCTCAAAAGTGATAATGTTTGTGTGTTTTTTCAATTTCAGATTTGATAATTTACGCTCTCTGCATTGGTGTAGATTTTCTGTTTCTTTAAATAATGAATTACCCAAGAAAATCGACAAAAAATTGGCATATTTCACTAAAAGTGGTTTCAAGTAATACTTATATGGAATTGAAAGAACTAATTGGTTTCATTTGACAGTGTTCCTTATAAGTTTTCATATACTATATTACACACATCGGAAAAGTCTAGAATATTTTTTAAAATGGCAATAATTTTTTTTTTAGATCGCTTCAGGAAAAAAAAGTTGACGGGTGATTATTAAACGAATGTAACTTACAACAAAATTTATTGAATGGTCAAAAATACTGAGTGCGCATATAAGCAAAACTAAAAAAAAATATGGCTCTTCTTTGGAATCAGTACAAAGTATGGCCTCCACGCTGGTTTATTACGGCCCTACATCTATCGTGCATCGACAAAATGAGATTTTCAATGTCTTGTTGAGGTACATTTGCCCATTCAGCGATTAAAAGCTCTCTCAATTGAAACGTTGTGTGAATGTTCCCCATATGCGGAGTAATTCTTCGTTGAAGCATGTCCCACACATGCTCGATGGGATTCAGGTCCGGTGATGTGCTGGCCATGGCAATACATCAACTCCTTCGTTGGTGAGCCAGTCAGTCACTAGACGCGCGACATGTGGACGAGTATTATCGTGCATTAGGTGGAAGTTTTCACCAACAGCACCAGCAAACGGACGGACGATAGGTAGAAGAATGGTGTCGAGGTACTGTCGAGCTGTGAGGGAGCGATTTGAAAAAACGAGATCGGTTTTGCCGCCGATCATGATTCCGCCCCATAGCATGACTGTAGCACTTCTGTATGTGTGGACTTCCTGGACGTGTCTCAAACGTTCATTATTTCCAGGTGGTCTCCACAGTCTTACTCGACGAGAATCTGGATGAAATCCAAATCTGGATTCGTCTGTAAACATTTGCATCCCAGTTTTGATGTTCTTGACACCACTCTAATCTTCTACCGCGATTGCCTCTCGACAAAGGTGGACATCTAAGTGGCCTTCTGTTGTGGAGATCTGCTTCATGCAGTCGATTTCTGACAGTATCACGACCAATGGTTACCTGGTGCGTCTGCTGCAACACGTTAACCAACTCAGGTGCTGTGATTGTTTCTTTATTCTTTAATTTATGAAAGTGAAAAGCTGTATAATCACATACCTTACGAAATGAGGAAGGAAAAAAGCTATAAAAAGCTCAGAAATCTTGTTAAAGATGCCCTTGCAACAAAAGCATACTACAGTCTTGATGAATATTACAATGGAACTTTGCTGTGATTTAATATATGTGTTTTTTTTTGTTGTTTATATTGACACCTATACTTTAAATTATATTTTCTGCTGGGATATATCTCATTTTATTGTTATGACAAGGGAACTTATGTTCAAATTGTGTATATTTGTTTTTTACATTTTTTAAAAGGTACTATACAAACTATTTTGTCTACAAATTTTGTTTAATTTTATTTTTTATTGTTATATTTTATCTATTAGATATATGTGAACTTAGTTTTGCTCAAATTGTGTTTCTGGGCAATTGTGTTGTTTGAATTGTTTCTTTTCTTTTATTCTTTGAAGTACTATACATACCAAATTTTTTAACAAGCTTTGTCAGTAAAATTGTATTTTCTTGGATATATGTGTATGTCTGTCTGTCTAAATAATATCTTCATTTCTTCGAAGCCAGATCATTTAAAATTGTTCGTCCTTGTTGTACGAAAAGAAACTGGTTCAACAGGTTTTAATTTTCAGTTGGATTTTGAAGAGCCAAAATTCCAGATGAGCCCAATGAATTACGCAGCTGTCACTTCTCCGACAAAAAATATGCAGAGGAATATGAGTTTGGGAAGTGCGGGAACGTCTCCATGTACGCCTCCAAGTTATTTTTCTGCTCGTGCTTTGAGAGTTAGCACGTCGTTGAGGTGAGCGATTTCTTACTGATATTTATTTATGAATACTCTGATCCGTTACTTGATGAAAGTTAATAACACTGTCCATCTGTTTAAAACACTTACCCAATGCTATAACAAAATTTCGCTAAACAAGGTACCGTCCTCAGGAGATAATTTTAACTTGCTCATGTTTTTTTGTATAATTCAATGTATATATAAAAGTGGTTGTCTCGAAGGTACTTTTTTTTTCGTGTAGTCCATGATAATGATCATAATTTCTACAAGCATTTTAAATGCTTGTAGAAATGAGAGGCATTCATTTCAAAAAGGAAGTTTTTCAGAGCAATTATCACTAAACGTGTGGTAGTATATACTAATTTTTATTTTCATATGTATTTTCTTGAAATAAGTAATTTTGAAGTTCATTATTAAAAAATGTTTAAACATTTAATGGAGTAGATTTTATTAAACATTTTCCACGATTTAGACGATTATTCCTGCCAAAAACAAAAGGATAACATGGGCCTGATCTTGACTTTTTTTAAATAATATAGTGCTAAAACTAGATATCTTATCAATTAATTGATTGCAACAAATTAATTAACGAGTTGGTCCTTCAAACAGTTGTAATTCTAATCTTGAGACATTTTTTTATTTTACAAGGGAAAAAGTGGTTCATTCTTGGAAACCTTTTACTCCTAGATCTAATAGATACTATTTACAAAATTTAAAAACCCATTTTTCTTGAAACAGTTGTTTTTGAGTTGTCTAGTTATGGTACTATACCCACGATATAATTTTAATTCACAATGGAAACGTGAGTTCGATGCTCTAGAAAAAGGTTAGGCCAAAGAATACATCTTTGAGACCTTCCTTAATAAATGTTCCTCATCTGGGATTTGAATTCTCTCTCATGTACACAAATTGTTCTCTTTCTGATGAATCATTTTCGAACGGCTAAAATCTTCAACTCTGTTGTAAAATTGTATCAAATACTGTATCGAAAGCATTGCACAGATCCAGGGATGAAAGTCCTCTTTTGAAATATACTAATATAAAAGACCAATCACAAACTGTAGACAAAATACAGACAATGGGTGGTGATGGTGGAACTCTTTCTCGCCTTTTGAATAAACAATTGCAATTTCAGTGACAGTTGTGGAAGCAGCAGCCCGGCCATTTTAGAACGCCCCCTCATGAACAGTCTTTCTCGATCGCACACCCCCGAGTCCGATTTGAGTGGAATATCCAGTCCCGATGGAAGCCTGAACGAAATATTTGTGAGTAACAAAATTATTTCGATATTTTGCACGGTGTTCGAGATTTTTTTTTCCACAGGATTCCTTGAACTTGAACGATAACCTCGCTCGTAACATTTTCTGTAATGGATCAAACGACTTGGATATATCGAGTCTGCAGCATTTGCAGGCCCTGCAGACTCTCAAGTATCTCCAGCAGCAACCTTCTTCGCCTGCCCTGCTCAATTCGTTGCTACCGCCTGCTTGTTCGCACAACAATATGCAGGTATTTTAGTATTATCACTACAAGTTGAAAATACTGTTGAGTTTTTATTTTTATGCAGCAAATATTGGATAAATGGAATGGCAATTCATCTCCGCTGAAAAACTTCCTGCCAGAAAACTTACAGCTGGACAGAGCAGCTCGTTTTCATCGATCTGCAGCCTGTAAGTAGTTTCCAAATTTGACATTATCTACAAAATTTTGTTACCTATACAACAAAAACAACCTAATATACAGGGTGTTAATTAAGTATGTACCATAAATTTAACAGACGATTCTTTAGGTAGGTAATTTTAAGACGAAATCTTCATATAAACGTGTCCGCAAATCCCTCGTTCTCAAGATACAGGGTGTTAAAAAAAAAAAGTTATTCGTGAATATCTTAAATATCCTTTACCTAATTTTGTTGTAATTTGGCAATGGTATTTATAACATTAAGGAGCTAATTTAGCCCGAACGTGATTCAATTTATTAAGTCCAGTGGCGTCTCGAGCGGGATTTGAACGAATATTTTTGACTTAAAAATGTACGCCACTGACTTTTGTGCAATTTTCATTATTTATTTGGATTAAGCAATTGAAAATACAATTTTTTTGTCTCTTGAATTTTTTTCGTATCTTGCTCAGTTTTTAAGAAAAAAAAGTCGACCTAATTGCATATCCCTGGACCTCGCAAGGCATAATATGGGGAATTAAATGTTTCTTTTGAATATTATTGTTTTTACAATTTTTCATTACTAATCAACAATAACAAATATTAAATAACATTAACATCTAGACTAACGAATTGCACTAAATCAAGTGTCGGAAATGGCTTCCTTCGGCTGACAGTTGTTGTCAACTTTATAAGCTTTTAATTCATAATTGTTATAAAAAGTGTGTTTAGTGGTTATTTTTCGAAACATTTTTGTAAAACAAGGTTCAATTTACTAACAGTGAAATGGCAGATATGCATTTCTGTTATGGAATGGCTCACGGAAACTCGAATGAAAGATTTCCTCAGCGTGTAGTGCCTAATAGAAGAACTTTTGTACGTCTCTATGCACGACTTTCTGAAACGGGCAGCTTTTAAAGGTCGACGTTGGCCTTCAACGGTACGAACAGTTCAAATTGAAGAAGCTGTTTTAAATGAGATTGAAGTAAATCTTCATATCAGTACTTGGAAAATAGTTGAAGAACTGAATATTACCCATGTCACAGTGTGGCAGATTTTGAGAACCCAGCAGCTATATCCCTATCACATGCAACGTGTGCAAGCTCTATTGCCCAGAGATTTGCCTCTAAGAATAGCTTTTTCTAATTGGATACGTGGTAAAATAAGAAGAAATCCAGGTTTCCTAAGTCGAATATTGTTTACAGATGAAGCTTGTTTTTCTCGCAATTCAACTATTAACTTCCACAACAATCATATTCGGGCCGGAAACAATCCACACGCCTTGATAGAAAATAATTTTCAAGAACAGTTTTCTTTTAATATTTAGGTTGGATTTGTCGGTGACCATCTCATTGGGCCTCACTTCCCACCACCTAGACTTAATGGAGAAGAATACCAAAGGTTTTTAGAATTTGTTTTACCTGTAATTTTAGAAGAAATTCCAGTCATGGAAAGATTCCGTATGTGGTACATGCACGATGGTGCTCCACCACACTTTAGTGTAGTGGCACGACAATTTTTGGATGAAAATTACCATAATCGCTGGATTGGGAGAGCAGGCCTACACCCATGGCCACCTCGCTCGCCCGAAATGAATTCCTTAGATTATTTTCTCTGGGGACACCTTAAAGCGTTGGTATACGAAACTGCTATTCAAAGTGAAGAGGATTTACGGAATAAAATCATCAATTCATGTGACATAATAAAAAATACGCCAGGTATTTTCAGAAGAGTGCGAAATTCAATGATGCGGCGGCTAGACAGTTGTATTGAAGCCGAAGGAGGCCATTTCCAACACTTAATTTAGTGCAGTTCGCTAGTCTAGATCTAGATGTTTATGTTATTCAATAATTGTTGTTATTGTTACATAATTAGTAATGAAAAATTGTAAACATAATAATTTCCAAAAGAAACATTTAATTCCCCATATTATTTATTCCTTGCCAGATCCAAGGATATGCAATTAGGTCGACTTTTTTTTCTTAAAAACTAAGCAAGATACGAAAAAAATATTAGAGACAAAAAAGTTGTATTTCTAATTGCTTAATCCAAAGAAATAATAAAAATTGCACAAAAGTCAGTGGCGTACTATTTTAAGTCAAAAATATTCGTTCATATCCCGCTCGAGACGTCACTGGACTTTGTAAATTGAATCACGTTCGGACTAAATTTGCTCCTTAATGCCAAATTACAACAAAATTAGGTGAAGGATATTTATGATATTTACAAATAACTTTTTTTTTTTTATTTTAACACCCTGTATCTTGAGAACGAAGGATTTGTGGACCCATGTTTATATGAACATTTCGTCTTAAAATTACCTATGTTGAATTTATGGTACATACTTACTCAACACCCTGTATGTTATCATTTATATTGATTGTTGTAAAAAAGTTCTCTATAGAGTAAGTTCTCTTTGAAACATAATCAATTAATTATCAGCTCTGTACGATGCCACATGCACTTGGAGTGGGGTGTTACCTTCGCGATCCAGCGTGAAACCCACAGGATATTCGAGCAAGGTTTTTTTGGGCGGAGTACCTTGGGACATATCGGAACAATTGCTCGTACAAACTTTCAAGCAGTTCGGACCGATTCGCGTAGAATGGCCGGGCAAGGACAAGCAGGCTTCGCAGCCGAAAGGATACGTTTACATCATTTTTGAATCTGAGAAGAACGTTAAGGCTTTACTGCAGTGTTGCACTAACGATTACGCCAACAGCGGCAATTGGTACTACAAGATCAGCTCTAAGAGAATGAAGGCAAAGGAGGTAAGACGGTCTTCTTTATTTTTTTTTCAAAGTAGATACCTTTTCTAACCTTGTCAAACACTTCTGAATGTGAAATGTAAGACAAAAAGCTTTGTAGATCATTCGAGCGAGTAATGGCCATTTTTCGGGAGTAGAATACTATACTTTTTCTATGACTTACAACAGGAGTACTTTAAAATATAATATATTAGTGAAAAGTGTCTCGAATCTGAGAAATACCATTGAATTTCGCGACAAGTAGTAATCTAAAAAAGCAATTTCACTATACAAATATAGTTCAAAAATTGCTTGAAAAAAAAATTAAGAATTATCGAAGATGTGACTTAACCCGAGAGAACTCGGCTGTCACACTAGCCCAGAGTCTAACCACTATTCAAGAAGGTGCTCACAAGCTAGTGTGACATAATTTAAATTTCTGATCGTTTTCATTTTGATATTAAGTTGAGAAAACAGGTAGGACATGTCCCCTGGATATTCCTGCAGTCCCTGCATGTCCTGCATCTCCCTGTATGGACAAGTCCCCTGTAGGGAGGGGACATGTCCTCCGTGATCTAGGCCAGATATGGTAGTTGTAGACAAAAAACAATAAGAACTCTTTTTGTGTTCGAGCTTTTGAGACTTTATTAGCCTCTTCCTCAGGAACTGAAAAGTGAGGTTATATTAAAAAAGTATGCTAAAGACGTTTGGATCATAACACGTAAAATTATCAAAAATGACGGGTTGTTGACATTTCTTCTGCAAAAACATACAGGGAACATGTCCCTGCAGTCCCCTATGTCCTGCATGTCCATCTCCCTGCAGGAACATTGGGGACATGTCCCTGCGGAGGGGATTATGGAGGACATGTCCCTTGCAGAGAGGATTATGGAGGACGTGTCTCCTGCAGAGAGAATCATTAAAAAACATGTCTGCTACAGGGGCCATGTCCCCCATGATTCAACTAATCCCACACTCTGATTAATTCTTACATTTTTCCTGGGCATACTTTTGTTCAGTTGATAGTTGAGAAAACAGCTAGAAATTCAGGGCAGGTATTGAAGTCGTAGACAAGAAAAAATGAGAACTCTTTTTGCATCACCATCTTGATGGACACAAGGAGGACATGTCTCCTGCTGGGACATGCAGGGGGTATGCATGTCCCTGCAGGGGACATGAAAGAATTTGTGGGATCAAATATGAATGGAGGAAATATCCACTGTAGGGAACATGTCAGCCATATAAATTATTTGATCCGACTAATGTTTTCCCTTTTTCTGGAGATGCTTTTCAATAAGTTTTGTGCTTTATCAAAATTTGTTTTCGTTTTGAGTATTCCAGTAGAATTTCTTTTTTTTCACATACTCTAGCCTGAAAAAGAAATGAAAGTTGAAAGCAACTCAAAAGTCACTCTCTGTTGAAAGAGGTGGAAGAAATTCGAAATTGTGTGAAAAATAATATGTCATTATACGTTTTTCAAAAACTTCTTTTTAGGAAATCTAGTTCCAACCAATAAGTTACTTTCTGTAAAATTCAAGACATTTAGTTTTTAGAAACAAAAATCTTTGAATTATTATTTCACTTGATATAATCCGGAAATTTAATTTTCAAAAATGAAAGGAGTTAACATTGAGTAATAATTTATCTCTCATAAAAGGTGCAAGTTATCCCTTGGATTATAAACGATTCAAACTATACCAAGTCTACTTCCCAAAAATTGGATCCTAGTAAGACAGTATTTGTGGGTGCTCTGCACGGTATGCTCAATGCTGAGGGACTAGCAAAGATCATGAATGATCTTTTCGATGGAGTAGTCTATGCGGGTAAGTTCGACTAGCCACAAGCAGTTATTTTTTTTTGTCCTTTTAATTATAATCGACTGTTTCAGGTATTGACACTGACAAGTACAAATATCCAATTGGCTCAGGACGTGTGACTTTCAACAACCAGAATTCCTATATAAAGGCGGTAGCTGCAGCCTTCATCGAAATAAAGACGTCAAAATTCACTAAAAAGGTAATAGCTGTAATATTATCTTAGATGCTGTGTTGGCAGACCGTCTCTTTTTTATGTTCTGATGAATTTTTGTCAGACTTGAAAATTCGGGAAAACGTTCGGGCAGATTCAAAGATTTGCCCCTCGATTCATGGGATCTTCCCATCAAAACTCCCAGGAAATCCTTTAATATCCTTTAGAAGGTTTACATGAGGACCTCAATGGAATTGATATTGACGAAAAATTGAGAGGCAGCAGAAAAGCGCAAGAGTCCTGGCTGAGATACTTGAACATGAACAACTCAGATTGTAGACAATTTCGTTGGTCAATTTAAATCTACTATGAAGTGCACACACTGCGGATTCTCATCAGTAACCTTCGATCCTTTCTGGGATTTGTCTCTTTCCATACCACAAAGAACTGGCCAATTGAGTTTGTCACAATGCCTGGATTTCTTCACAAGAGAGGAAACTCTGGATGCAGATGAAAAACCAATGTGTTCGAGGTGCAAGGAAAGAAGAAAATGCACAAAGTCCCTATCAATCCATAAGTTTCCCCGTATTTTAGTAATTCATTAAAAGAGATTCTCACCAACGGAAAGATTCAGAGGCAAATTGAATGTAGCCATTCAGTTTTCTTTAGAGGGATTAGATTTGAGCAATTTTGCAGCAGATAATGCGGCTCCTTGTCGTTACAATCTATATGCACTTTCTAATCACAGTGGGAGTACTTAAACGGGCATTACACAGCATATTGCAGACACCCTTATAGTGGCATGTGACATGAATACAACGATTCACACGTGTCCCCAATGTCACCAAAATCGCTTGTGAGTGAGGAGACATATGTCCTCTTTTATGAACAGGAGGGAACAAAGCAGCACTTTTGAGGTGTTTTTTTCTTCTCGCTTTTAATAAGTTAAACTCTGTTAATTGACTTGTATTTCATGACTCATCCAAAAGTGATTAAAAGCTCATATTTGAAAAATATAATGATTCGAATAGTGAATTTATTTCGAATATTCGCTTGATACTTGAAAAAATTTATAAAACTTGCTAATTAGTATTTTTGCTGATAGGATCAAACATTTGACTTCCTCATCATATGTATATATAGTTCAAGTAAACGATATAGTGCAACCCACCTACCATACACTTTTTCAAATGTTTTTGTCTGTAAAACTTCAAGTAGTTGGTTTTTGGTATAGTTATCTTCAGAATACAAATTGTTATCCATTGAAAAACTTTGTATTTCATCTTTCCTCGAATTTTTATTTGGTACTTTGATGAGTTGTCGCGAATGATAGAAAGCGTTGTCAAGAATTATTACACTATTCGCATCCAAATTTGGGATCAATGTGTTTTCAAACCATTCCTCAAAAATATTAGCTTCCATGTTCTTATGATAGTCAACATTGCAGTCCTCAAGTTTTTTCCACATAATTTCGAAGAATTCGGAACCCATCCTTTACTTCCTCCGCAATGCACAATGATTAAGCGCGATCCTTTGTTTGCAGACATGTTAGGCGTACACATTCTCGAACCATCAGTCCACCCTTTCGTAACTGTGTCGTGTCATACCAATTTTCGTTCAAATATTAAATTTGCCATTGTTCTTGTCTATATTTAGTTATTTGTTCTAAGTATTTGTTACGCATTTCCATTATTCTTCTGCTTTCCATAACTGCTTGACGTTTGTTTATTATTTTGAATCTAAATCCCAGTTTTTTTATCCAATTCTGAGGAGTTTTGTCACAGAAGCTCACGTTATGGCCGGAAGTATTCAATTTCTTCCTTATGATTTCAGTTGTAGGAATCTCATTGCTTTTGTAACAGTTAATGATTTTATCAGATGAACATCTAAAGGTTTTGGTAATCCCGTATCACATCGCGTCTTGCGTTCAGAAGGTTTGTTTTTTACTATTTTACGTACAGTTGAGAAAGGAATTTTGGTCAATTCTGATGTTGCTTGTAATAGTTTGTTTCCCTCGAAACCAAACTTGAAATGTATATTCATATATACATTGAAACATACTCTCTGTGTTTCAATGTTCAAATGTATCTGAATCATATTCACTGGTATCTCTTTTTTGCATTGTTCACCAGCGCTATTGGAATCACTATACAGTTGTTATCACACTCGTTATTACTATTAGTACTTGTTCAAGGACGCCACATTTTAAACAGATAACAAGAATTTTAAGTAATTATAACTGCTCCAATATCGAATTTCAACACTCAAATCGCGATCAGTTCCTGAACTGAACATTGACGACACAACGGCGATACTCATCCCCACATTCTATTCGTCACCGTAACATGACTTCAAATTTAATTTTATGACTCTTCAGCCAATCATAAAACCCGGTTAGTAAAAAATGATCCAATACGAACCGCCAATTCTTCAGTCCACGTGGACTAGTTCGCAGCGGCATTATTTCTCTGTATTGGTTTTTTTTGGCCTTTGAGATGCCGATAGCTTTAAGTATTCACAATAAAGGTTACTTCGACTATATCTATATACGATTTTGTTGTCCAACTTCCAGGTACAAGTGGATCCCTACCTGGAAGACTCGCTGTGCTCCATTTGCCAGGTCCAGCAGGGCCCCTACTTCTGCAGAGACATGAACTGCTTCTGCTACTTTTGCCGCACCTGCTGGCAATGGCAACACAGCAGCGAGTTCCGCCACCACAAGCCGCTCATGAGAAACTCGAAGAACAACCAAGTCGTCGGTCTCGGCACCATGCCGCCACCGCCATCTCCAGGTACTTCCGCTTCTTCGCCAAACTAAGCAAGTACTCGCTCACAAATTACTGCTTATTCTTTATAAAGTCTGATCTTGTAAACGCTCGTGAGATGGAGTTGCGTTCGATTCGATTATTTACGCTGACGTTGAGCGTATGTAACTATTGTTAAATATTGTTGTTGAACTTGTTACTCAACTGGTTGGTATATATTGTTAGGTTAAGTTTGTTGGAGTTCCTGGTCGGAAATTGACATTTCCTGATGTGTGGCTGTCGGCGGTTGCGCAAAAATTGCGCGGCTAACCGGAAATAAAGAAGTCTGTCTAAATGGTCTTGATTCAATCTTTAGTTTTCGTTGCCTCGTTATTATGTATCAGCAAGTGTCAAATGTCCTACAGGAAGTCTGAGCTAGATTAGTTTGGAGGTTAAAATTCGTAGGTTTATACATATAAACCCGTGACCTTCGAAAGAAGCCTGCGCTAAAATGTGACTTTGGGGTATTTGAAGAAACCTCAAACTGATTTCTCTGCACTGCGGATAAAGTTTGAGCCTGTTGATTGGGCCCTGCAACCGATTCGAATTAATGATTTCATAGTATTATCCGTGTCAATATTATTTGCAAAAGGAACAAGTCGTGGCTAATATGGTGAGTCTCATAAAATGGGTGGGAATTTTCACAAAAAGGGTTTTAGATTTTTTCACAAAAGTTTTTTTTGGTTGGTATTTCGCGAACTTCTGCTGCTGATCTATTTTTTTATTTTTTTCTAACTTTTTCAAGAGAATCTGCTACTATTAAACTGTTTGGTATTCTTTTTTGTATGGCATACAAGCAAAAACATCGAATAAAAATACATTGGTATCTTCACTCGTATAACGAAATTAAATAAAGATAAAAGGCTTTGATTTTTACAGTGGAATAACTTCGGCCTAACTAAAAATTTTGTTTTGTGCAAAAAAACTCGTTATGTATATTTTTCAACGCCCTTAACTATTATTTAACTTCAACTGGTGAAATCTTGGTATGATTTTTTTAAGTGGGTTCAATGAGAGGCCTTTTTAACTTTTCACTTTCTCACAGTGGAATAGAATAATAGTTCCAGCACATATGTCATAATGTCAGAACAGTTCTTGATCAAAAACTAGTACCAGTTTTTGATGGTTCCAGAATTTGTCTAGAACTACCGTAACTGAATCCCAAATTCACCTTAAAGCTAGTTTGAACATTCTCCTATCCTTTTCTAATAACAAACTATTGAAGAACAAGATATTCATCTCATTTTCTCTCAGAAACATCGAGGACTTTGTTGTGGAAAATAGGTTTTGTGGTCAAGATTTTCACCAGGCAACTTGTTTTGCAGAATTCCCTGCAAGAGGTAGATTAAAATCAGCCACAATCAATTAGAAGTTTTATTTATCGAATGGTCATAAATGTTTCCTGGAATTTTTGTATCCAATTTCAGTATGGAGGAAAACAAACTTTTTTTCAAAAAATTATCTTCGTTGTCATGCCCCAAAGTATTTATGACATCAGTAAAATTTTCTGCTAAAAATCCATGATTGGAAAGCAAAGTAGCCAGTTTGTTTAGATTTGCTTATATTCATGATCTAATTCTTGATGAATCTCCAAATAATGCTTAATATTTCACTAGTTTATCTTAATTTTTGCCAAAATTTACCCTTAGATGAGAGGGGGTAGCTTACCTTGTATTTTTGATGTGTAAGTGAACATCTTGAAATGAGTTTTCCTGGTTCTCCGTGTTTGAACAACATTTTCTAAATATTAGTTCCAGGCCATTATATCTTCAGATGGTGTTTAAAAATTCAATCGGAAAATTTTCTGTGTCTGCAGAAAAGCTTACCTAGAATTTGGCAAGCTTTAAATAGAGTGGCAATCATGGACTACCTAAACTATCAAATTTAAGAAACAAAAAAAAGGCAAGAACAGTTGAATGTTGTCAAAAATGTCACTGAAGTCTTGTTGAGTCTGTGTTTTGTCTGAAACGTTGACTAGAGACTTCTTGGTCCGTTTGAGAGTTCTGGTAAAGATGGTTAAGTTAGAAATAGCCTGTGTGGAGTATGAAGTGTGTGTTAAAATCGTTGACAAAAGACTCCTTGATGCATTTGGAAGTCCAGATGCTCACAATTTTGTTGAGAATACACTGAATGGTGTGAGTGCAGTATAATATGTGTTTGTATGTGTGTATGTGTAATATCTTGTAGGGATTGGAGTATTTTGCTATGGAAGTGTGCTGGAAGATGAGAAACTAGATAAACAATCAAACAAACGTACTTTTTGTTAAACAATAAAACACAGAATGAAAATATGACTCTTGAATTGTATATATTTTCAAAATTCATCATCGTAAATGCATTGAAACCCGAATCTGAAACACATACCGAAAACAAAACATTTTTGAGGTCAGTTCTCTAGGCCCTTATCGTGAAGATTCCCCTATCTCTGAGAACAAACTTGCCATTGATATAGAGGTGGCGATATTTCCGAAATTAGTTTGAGGATCCTATTCTGCCCTAAATTTTGTATAACTGTTCCAGAGCCTGATGTCCTAACTCTGCTTGTGCGCCAATCGTGTGACACGTAGCGCGTGAATTTTAAAAAATATCGGAACAAAGTAAATCGAGTAGATTTTACGAATGATTAAAATAATATTCAGACACACTAATGGGACTCTTAGATTCCCCCTATACGTTGAATTTTATTGTTTCAATTTCTAAAAAATATAAAAGTATTTTAGCCATAACATGAAATTTTTATACTTCGTTTGGATTTTTGTTAGTGTTTAACATAACTGTAGTTTTAAGTGTTTGATATTTAAAATTTTAAATTGTAAGTTCAACTTTGGATTTTCTTGGAGGTCGGGTAATTACTTAATATAGTTTTATAAATTTTAAGAGTTTCGCATTACAGTCATCATACTGTATTGTTTTGTATAAGACTGGTCTGGTGATAATTTGGCTATGAAACAGGTTGTTACGATTTTTGGAATAATAGTTCATGAGACTACTTTTTCGAGATGTAATCATGCTATTATAATTATTATTATTATTATCGAGAGTTTATTAATTAAATATGATTAATCACTAAAAGAATCTTTTCATTTTAGCTCAAGGTGGAGGTGTCCCATATTTGTCGCATGATGCATGTTGTTTTTCGCAGTCGCAGTAATTTTTATCATTATTTTATTTTCGTTACCTATGTGTTTTGTGTTTCACTAACATGTTTTATTTATTTTTGTTTCAGTTTTTATTTATCTAGTGAGTAAGGGAGTAACTTTTTTTTTAATTTGGGCGACAGGATTATGAAACGAAGCAGAAGTGTACCTTTTTGAGAAACAATACAAAAAAAAGCAGATAGATTGAATGTCTACCTTTTTTGTTTGATGACTCCAACGAAAAACCTCCCACACACCAGAACTGTAAATCTTCGGCGCGCGTTTCGAGAAGCAAGATTTCCTCGTCAGGAGATATACTATACTGATTCTAAGTTGCCGAGAAATTCATTAAAGAGTGAAATATGAACTGTTTGGAATGGGATATCTCATGAAGTGACTTCTGAAAGCGTTCAAAAGTTCAGTGACACTAAACTAGTCTATTTGATGGATATGCACCATGTATTCTTTGACTCTGGTTTCAATAGTTCACCTAGTCTGACCAATATACTTTTTTCCCTCAGTCTTCAGCTTATTTCAGGAATCACAGACTTTCCAGATTCCATAGACGTCTTCTCAGATGATCCAACACTTGAAGTGAACAACCTGAAAGCTAGTTTTTCTGGAAAGCTGAGAATTTTTCGGCACCGTTCAATCACCGTTCAAAATTTGATGTTATAGGTCGAAAAAGGATATAGGATATAGGTGGATATAGGTCTGATTCAGATCATTCAAATCAGTTCGTTCATTTATTGACATGAGGAAATGTGTCATAATTTCTGGAGTGTGAGAGGTGTTTTTGTTGAATCAGCTCACAATTTAACGAACCTAGTTCATCAGTAAGAATGAGTGAACATAAAGAAATCGAAGAAATTTAGACGAATCAATATATAAATGATATGATTGAAGGGGATTCCAACGATCTTGGTGGTAACTGGGTCTGTCGTAAAAAGTTATCTAACAAAATTATTTTTTCCACGGGCTAGAAATGTGAAAACGGCATTTCCAATGCACGTTTCTTCAACCAAGTTGACGTCTTCAGTTGTTGATCGTAACTGCTTAAGCAAAGTTTGTGGAAGACACATGAAACAACTGTTTTCACTGTTCTGCTATGTGGAAAAATCATTTCAGTCCTACATCAGATCTGTTGAAGACTTGATTGGTTTGGACTTGTATATCAATTACAACTTATTGTCTTTTATAAAGAAAAGAATGCTAGTTTCATTTTCCTGGAGAGTATTATTGTATGGCGTCCAAATTCTTGTACTTGTCTTGAAAATGTTTTGGGAAATCTGTAGCTAATATCGGGTTCCATGGAGTAGCAAAAATGTGTCGAATTTACATTGGAAAGAGAATCAAAACTTTTGCCAATTTGCCATTATTTTTAACATTGAAAAATCGTTTCATATCATGGACAAAGCACATTTTTGTCTTCCTCAAACAGAGTATTCACAGATGAAGTGTGTATCAAAACTGATTAGTGCCTAATTTTGATAAAAAACGTTGCAACATTCCCTTTGTAACATTCAATTATAATTCACAGGTCAAAATACTTCAATCCATTGTTAATGGTGCAAAAATTTGGATTTTCATCCGTTTCGTGGTGCAATTTATTTTAAATATATACCTTTTATAGCTTAAGGCATCTTCATAAATTTCAGTCACAATCAAAGCAGTGTGAGAAGCTTGAAAAAATATTTTTTACGTATTGAAATCGGCAGGTACTTGAAAATCCATAAATTATTCAAGAGAGACTGTGAGGTTTTCATTACACAGTTGTACAAAAACGCAACACGTGTTTTGCCATACAATGGCATCTTCAGGCGTGTCTAAACTGACTAGTTAGTAGAGACAATAGCTTCAGGCGTGTCTATACTAACCAGTTATCAAATACACTAGTATACACACTAGTTAATATAGACACTCCTAAATAGCTTCTTCAGGCGTGTTCATATTATCTGGTTAGTAAAGACAATAGCTTCAGGTGTGTCTATACTATCTAGTTATGCAATACACTAATATACACACTAGTTAGTATAGACACCCCTAAATAGCTTCTCCAGGCGTGTCTATACTAACTAGTTAGTAAAGACAATAGCTTCAGGCGTGTCTATACCATCTAGTTATTTAATACACCAGTTAGTATAGACACCCCTAAATAGCTTCTTCGGACGTCTACTAACTATTGTATAAACTAGTCTATACTAACTAGTTAGTAAAGACAATAGCTTCAGGCGTATATATACTAATTAGTAAAGGTGTGCCTTCACTAACTAGTTAGTAAATACACCAGTATAGACACTAGTTAGTATATAGACCTCTAAATAGCATCTTCAGGCGTGTCTATACTAACTAGTCAGTAAATACACTAAATTAGACACTAGTTAGTATAGACACCCCTAAATAGCTTCTTCGGGCGTGTCTACTAACTATTCTATAAACTAGTCTATACTAACTAGTTAGTAAAGACAATAGCTTCAGGCGTATATATACTAACTAGTTAGTAAAGGTGTGCCTTCACTAACTAGTTAGTAAATACACTAGTATAGCCACTAGTTAGTATACACACCTCTAAATAGCTTCTTCAGGCGTGTCTATACTAACTAGTTAGAAGAGATAAAAGATTCAGGCGTGTATATACTAACTATTGTCTATTCTAACTAGTTGGTAAGTTCACTAGTATAGACTCGCGTGAAGAAGCTATTGTATAGCGAAACCTGTGTTGCTTTTTTGTAAAACTAGTAATAATCTCAGTGTTTTTGAAAAATTTTTTTCACTGTTATCTCAAAGTTAATGCATTGGAAAATTACGAGGTCATCAACTAGCAATTTTGGCTAATTAATATTTTTCATTTATGTTGTGTAAAAATTGGAACATTTTTATCGCTATTTACATAGAAAAGTGTTGAGGAAAAATTACAAATATTTTTTTTCTCAACCAAAGTCGATTTGTTTGGAGTGCATCTCGTCAGTAAATACTCTGTGAATTAAATCATATGGATCAATATATTTCCATTTTTATTTTAAATTTCGAATATTTTAAGAGCATTTTTTTAATATTTTGGTGTGGTTTTATACTGAAATTTGGAATTGGGGAAATAGGTACAAAAAGGGTTCCAAATTTTGAATAAGTTGACCCAATATTTTGTAAATTCCACACTTGAAAAATCCTTTTTGTGCCAATTTTTCTATAAACAATTTCTTGCCATGTTTCAAGTTACAGTTTTAAACTTTTAAAAATTTTAGTAAAAAGTCTATTTGATTTTAACAAAATTATCAAGTGTAACATCAAATATGACGCGAGTCATTAGACTTTTGCAAAACTGGTAATTTTAAAAATATTCCTATACTAATCCACATTTTTAATGGCAGTCTCCATACCAAAACTCGTTTATAGAAAATATAGCCGGGCGATACTTGATGAAAATCAAAAAACACACTTTAATGATAGTTTACAAAACCGCGACACCTGTTTCGCTATACAAAAGCATCTTCAGGCGTCACAATACCTTGTGACAAGTATTGTGACGCCTGAAGATGCTATTGTATAGCGAAACAAGTGTTGCGGTTTTTTAAACTTCCAAGTGGAAATCTCACCTCAAAGTGTGTTTTGAATTCGTTTACAGATATTTTGCTTTGATTTTCATTACAAAAAAATTCGAAAGTGTCAACTGAATGGTGAACCTGCAAGATATATTCAGTTTTAATAAGCCAAATTGATGAATTCGAATTTTCGTATGGGGACAGCATTCTATATTACGAACGTTACCAAAGGTATAAATTTTATGTAGGATAGAGTTGTGCTGTTTTTATTTGTTTATCGTTTGTGTTAATTTGCATTTTATGGTGGTTGTGTATTTTAACTAGTCAATACATTACCTGCATTCAGAAGATGTTTATCTTTCAAATAAATAATTATGTTGGTGTTTAATGTTTGTTTTTTTTCCCAATAGAAATTGAGTAAAGGAAAACAAGCAACGAGATGATGCTTCGTGATGTTCTTTTTTCATATTCTTTCACATTGCAATCGACACTGTGAGATTTTCACTGAACAGTTTACAACATGTATTTCACCATACAGTAGCTTCCTCAGGTATTCTCATAGTGACCAAATTCTACCATATTAGTGCTTCATATAATAACAATTTGAATCATATAATTTTGTACCTATAACATCATAAAAGGAAATTTCAACAAACTCATTAAATATACATGTTATAAACTAATTACTCATCACAACATATTAGAAAACAGATTGAGAAAAGGTGAGGACTTCAATTTCATTTAGCCGTACAATAAATTTTCAAAATTCTCAAATCTATTAATTTCTAAGCATTCCATGAGTTTCTAACCTTTCTCTCGAAATGTAATACTTGCCCCCCTGTCAAAAGCTTGCAAATGTGAAATTAGTCTTCACATTCAAAAACTATTCCTATGTTCTTTATTTCTTTGGGAAAAAGTTCTCCCCGTTTGGCCAATATAAAGTTGTGTGCAGTCACCACTCCTGATCTATTGGACGCTGAAGTTTTCTTAAATTATTATTTGTCTGCTGAGCCTCAACCAAGTCTCCATTAAAAAAAAATCAAGCAATGTTATTGGTAGGTTTACGAAACTATGTCATGACGCTTATTGTTTTTTGGGATGGTCCTACTAAATGGCCTGTTTTATCAGTGGAAAGAATGGAAGTAATGAGAATAACGATTTATTTTTCCAAGAAACTTACAGTTTATAGCAGGGGAAAAACAATAACTCAAAAACTAACTGTAACATACCTGGACCAGTAAAACAGACTAAGATATTATCTATGTGTCTGTAACTGTATGAAAAACTGTTGATTGAGTATCATCAATTTCATTTTCAAGGTTTTTCATGAAAATTTCAGCTAGCAAAGACCTCGAAGGAGTTCCCATTATTAGCCCTTCTCTGCATGACTAAAACTTTTCATTGAATTGAAAATAATTTTGAAGTAGGTCTAGAATTTCCTGTTTTACTACCTGTAATGAAACTGGAAATTCTCAACGGTTTTTCCGTTGTCAACCCGTCCCTGCATGTATGAAACTTTTCATTGAATTGGTCCATTGTGAGTTTGCTTTAAACTGTAGCATATCTGTGAATACTCATTCAACTTAATTGAAATAAGCGCACTTTTGCCAATGCAAAACAAGTCAGCTTAAAAATTGTGTTTTCGAGATTCGATGAAGTTGACAAAAGCTGGTTTTACCTTCTGATTGGCGAAGATTGTTCTCGATTGGCGAGAGGTCTGGTAAGAATAGTGGATGAGGCTGAACGGTGATTATTTCAATGTGCAAAACTTATAAGTCTCGTTGATTAAACTGAATTTCCCAACTAAAAGTAATTTTTCAATTGCCATAATTAAATGGCATTTACATTATGAGAACAATTAATTTTCAGTTTCAACTTTCAAAACTTGTTTGAGTAAATAAACCAAAAAGAAACGGTGGGAATTCTTGCAAATAAAACGTACCCAGGTAGTGTGGTAGAGAAAAAAATCCGGGATAAGAACTAAAATTGCAGGAACTACTGTAATTATATTGTTCATATCATACTTGAATCTTGGAAGAACGTAGTAAGTTGAGGTGATTTTTGGATATATCACTTAGGAGTGTAAGTTAGAAATCACACGTTAAAAGGTAAGACCTCGTTAGTCCTTAGCTCGCACAAGTTTCTCAACTTCTGAGAGTTGTCGTTCCTATGGGGGCGACAGCTGGTCAACGGAAAACAGATTTTAAACAGACATGAAACTATTTCACTTTCAGAGGTTTTTTTATCTGAGCTGAACCCTATTCAGTATGAAAATTCAATTGACGTGGGAATCAATAACATCGACCTGCAGTTTTTGCTTGGAAAACTTCACTTGTCCTCCAATTTTTTATTGGGAAAATATCTCCAGAGTCCATCACTATATCTTGATTCTTTGGAAGAACAAAAAGTTCATCGAAACATAAATGAATGGACATGCAAATGTCAATGAGACTCACTGAAAAAACAAATATTTATTGACAATAACAAATTGAATAACATTATCACATCTTGTATGGTAAAATGTATAATAGATAGGCATCTTGAAAAATATAAGAGAATACTTTTTTGGAATCTTTTAGGGATATTATCTGTGTTTTTATAAAGTTTACTTAGAAATAGTTGAACCAAAACATGGCTTGAAAAACTTGATGTCTGAATCTGTCCTTTTGAACTATTTTGTACTGTAGTATACAATTCTTAAATCCCTTGGAAACCATTTTTAGTCTCCAATGATCACAGCAAAATATGCAAGTTCAACTATACTGTTCAGTAATTAATATGACAAATATGGAAATTAAAACCCCCCTTTTTTGTACTAGTACTGAAAGGAAAAATATCGGGAACTATTTCAATGTCCTCTTGTAGAAAATTTGATATATTCCAAGCAAGGATGATGCAGTGCCTATGAATCCCACCTGCCACGTTTTGAGTTTACAAGACCATAGAATTCCTGGAGGAAGAGTATTTACAGCGTGTATCAAATCAATTATCAGTCTGAGAGAAGTCAATATTTCGTATTTTTGCAGCTGCAGTATTTTTTCTAGAGGTATACTGGAAAAGTTTTGATTTGAATCATAATAGAAATAGAGATGATTTCGTTTTTTTACCTGTTGTCCTTTGTTACACATTTCTTATGCCTTTGTAAGACAGCAATGTACCTGAAAGTTCTGTAAAATAATGTGAAGTTTGTTAGAAATTCATGTATCACTTTAATAGTACAAAGTTTTAGTGAATAATAATAATGATAATAATCGTCTTTATTATTTCCATATTCAAAAGTATACAATTAATATTAGATTTCAAGGTTTACATATGGAAATAAAGGACGAAGTCTATTTTCACCACAGAAAATATTCTTCCACTTGACCCTAAACAAACCTGCGTAATACAAAGAAAAAATATTGACCTAAAAACAAAAAAAATCTAATGAAATTTGATATTCAAGAAGATGTTCTTTGAAAAATTGTCTTGAGTTTGTTAACATTTTGTGTTCTTATAATACTCAGAACCGGATTGCGGACTTATCAGGATTAGTAAGTAGGCAATGGTCTTTTGCAGCTTTCGCGAAAGCTTCAAAATCATTATTAATAAGAATGCATGCATCATCCACCATATGTGGAAGGAAACTATGGTGAAGTTGGGTATCATCAGTGTATGAATGAATATTGCAGGCTTTCATTCCAGTCAACAGCTAAGGGAAGTATATAGAAAACAGAAGAGGCCCCAGTATAGATCTCTGTGGGACACCTGATTTGAGTGTTGAATATTCATTGGTGTTGAATAAAATATATCACACCAGTCCTGATTGTCGTAGAGGATCCACTTCTCAACACGTGACGAACCAGCATCGAAGTTCTGCCTCATCCATCATACTACCAAGACCTCTCGCCAATCGACTAATACCTTTTCAAGCATGTCGATCTTTCTCACCATAACGGACAGAACTTTTGAGAAACCTTATAACACGAAATTAGGAAGTATCAATCTGTCACAAATCAATGTTTGATAATCTTATTTAAATAGTGATGTAAAATTATTGGAGTTCATGTGTAATAACAAAAATCAATTTTCTAAGACAATACGAATATATTGATGAAAAAATATGTCAGTTACTATTTTACTCTGTTCATTATTTGGTGTTGTTGGGTTTTAATAATATTACTTAATGATGAAATATGAAATTTGCATTAAGTAACAAGCAATGATGGACTACTGTTAGAAATTACGTACCTCAAAAGTGTTAAATAAATAGACAGTACCCAAGAGAAGGCACTTATGGTATCCCATTTGTTGTTGTCGATTCCTGTAACTAATTTGTGTTCAGCAAGCCATGACATTTTTTCAATGGGATAGTATACTTGATCAATGATGTTTGTTATAACTCCTAACTGTGCCATGAGCCTGTCGGGTTCCTAAAATGATACTCCAAAACTGAACAACCAACACTGTACTAAAAGTAGTTTATAGTTTGTTTGACAAACGTGCTGGCACTATTATTTCATATAAAGTTTAGACGTCAAAAGTTCTACCCTCTCAACTTTTGAACTGATCAAGATCAGGCAAAAATAAATAGAGGCTTGATATCAGGTGATCTAGCAGGCCATTCCAAGTGACCATATCTGCCTATCTATCCAAATGAGTTTTCAGCTAATGTTTTGTTTCAAAAAGATGAGGAACCTCCTGATTATAACGAACTGGTTCGAAAGCGCTTCAATGACAATTATCCAAATCGGTAGAGAGGCACAACATAGTCACTTAGAATGACCCATTAGATCTTGATTTGTCACATATGGATTTTTGTGGGGCTTGAAAAGAAACTTGGTAGTTCCTTGGTAGTGCTAATTGTTTTGCTTATCAAAAAATACTGAAAATTATTGATTGAATTGAATTGATATGTCTTTAAGAATGTGTGAAACATACTTTTTTCCCTAATCCATACTCCAAAGTGTATTTCAACATGGGAATGTCATCAAATAAGCGGAGCGTTGCCCTGGCCTCTGACATTTTCTTTCCAAACAGTAACATCTTTTGAGCAAACTCTTCATTATTGTGCAAACCACCACCCAGTTTACTCAAATAACTCAGTGTTCGGAGAATCTGGAAAACATTCTGTTTATGACATATTTTGAGGTAAAAAAAGCCAGTTACCTTGTCTCTACCTTTATAGGTTTCAAGAAGAAGGCATATTTCCTCTAATATTTTAGACCACATAGCTCTTAATTATCATTTCTTTGTGAGGATTAGTAGAGAGTAAGAATATTTTTCAATAGAGATTTTCATCATTCAATATTGACAAACTCAACCTTTAACTCTCGATATGCTAATAATGTAAATGACGTTACACAATTACAACCATAATATCATACACAGTTCACAGTAATTTGAGTTTGAATATCTTCTGACACCTGTAGATATCAATTTTTAAATTTAATGAAAGGAGTCAACTTGTACATGAAAAAGTATATTGTGTTGCATAACTTTCAAATGTTGATCAATGGCACTCGTGTTGTCAAAGCTGTCTGCCAAAATATAATAATATGTAAAATTTATATTGTATGGAAATATTGATTCATTTTATGTCCATATATTATATTAAAAATGAAATGAATAGATTCAGGATAGAATAGATTTAGTCAATTCAGTTGACACGGAACCACAGACAGAAGAGTAATGTAATCTACTCAAAAAATTTCAATACGAAATGTCACTTCGACATTTTTTTGATTTCCTAGAGGTTTACACCAAGGGGTTTACAACCCCTGATCTGTGCATCTAGCAATGGACAGATCAGGGGGAACCCAGGGTTAGACACAGATTACAAACATTTCAGTGTTCTGTGATTGAATGGAGTGCAAATTTTTTCTGATTTCAGCTTTGTATGGAGTATCTTGCGACAGTTTCCTACTTGGCCCGATTGCGGAAAGTTATAGTAATTCACATCAGCCGCTGACCACCATACAGTAACCTTCGTTCAAATCGTGGAGCACTCACGTTTCAAATTTCAAACCATCAAAAATCGCTTGAGAGCTGACGCCTAGTTCTTCCACCATCCCACGAACCGTCTGTAATGGATTAATGTTAAAACACGATATGGAAATCATAAGCAAGTATAGTTTTGGTGAAAAGTACTTGCCTCCACCAAATATGCAAATATTTACTAATGTCAAATCGGATCAGATGAATTTCATCGATTATTCGTTAAAGCTGTCAAATGACGCCACGGATCAGTTCATGAATGAATAAATTGTTGGTGAACTTGTTTCTGATGAAAAAAAAATAAACGTCGACTGGTGATGTTGACAGGTGACAATACATTATATCATTTTCCAAACAAAACATTTTGGTTCATTGGATAGATATGTATACTTTTCATATTATGAGCCATATTCATTATTAGTATCAAAAATGAACTAGAGGAATGTACAAATAGTACCCACATTCTAACCGCTACTAACCAAAATTTTCGACAGGTGTTATGTGAAAAGTATTGGTCATTGGTTACTGTTGAAACAGCACGATTATGTCATAATTGTCATTATCGATTAGTATTTTGACGTTTGGTTCTCTTGTTTCCTAGTTCTTCAGTAGAACCTTAATAGTGGTGATTTTGAATTGGTCATTTCTGAAACATATCTCAAGAGTCGCAACTACTTATTGACTTTTCACAGCCACCTATTGGATTTATCGGCTCAGGAACTCGAAGAAATTTATCAATTAGTACTAATACAGATTTAATCCTAAATACATTGTTCTTAGAACAATATTGGCTATAAGCATGGTATGAGTACATCATTCAAAGTTTTTCAAACGATTCCAAGAAGAAAATGAATTTGAATAACTTCATGATTTTTTTATTGGCATTTAAAATTCCTTTATCCTTGTTTAGTTTTTGTACAAATGATCACTCCTTTTTTTATAGGATGACAATGAAACGCACCACGTAGAGGAAGTCGAAACCCGCGCTCTATATATTTGACTAGCACCGTCACTTCCTTTAAAAATGGCCTTCTTTGTCCTTTCCCGTCAAGCTGGTTTTCAAAGCGCATTCGCCGGTGGAAGTCTAGGCTTGCAGTTCTCGAAGATCAGTAATACTACCTCATTCCTCAGAAATTTCTGCGCCAAAATGGTTTTGCCAAGAGTGTTCTTTGATATGACCGCGGATAATCAACCCGTCGGAAGGATTATTATAGAAGTGAGTACTTAATATAGTTTTTGATATCCGTGGAATGCACTTCTTTGCCACCATGCTTGTTTCGTTGTCGTTAGAGTAGTGTAGATTTGTTTATCAATTGGACGATTCATTGATTTTTTTTTTCATTCAATTTGAGTATTCTTATTTTATGAATTGGTAAACTTCATTTTTTAGGTTAGAGGAATAGTTTGCCGCTTCAAGTTTTTAATTGATTAGAATCCTTTTATGGCGTCTCACACTACATTCAATTCCTAATATGTCGTTTACGAATTTTTACGTAGGCCGCTTGAAAATACGACCGATTCTTACTCTGGGTGATTTTATCATACAGTAAGTCAACAGTGACTCAACTTATAAAAATGCACCGGCTCATATATTTGCATAAATACATACTTGGTACTTTTCCATTTATTAGATAATCCGGTAATCATTAATCACATGTAGGCCTTGACCGACCCTCTGTTGCTTCCCGCACTGATTCATCAGGAAGGTTTTCATTAGTTTCTTTGCTAGATTTTGTGTTTAATAATCACACCTTTGTAGTAATGAACAAATTTATTAATAGGAATTAAGCTTTGTGAATCATTCCTTTCATGAATAATAACCAGCATATCTTTAAAAATTTTATTGCAAAAGATTTTTAGTTCGGTAATGAAACAAAACATGTTTATGAATGGAATTTACCATGGCAAAATAATGTGAAGTGGTTTCTTTGATATACTCATTTGAAATTTTAATCATGATTGGTCAAACCAGGGAGTGGGAGTGAAGCAAATTATTTAATAACTTCTAGCAAAAGCCATTTTGCTGCCTCCGAAAATATTATACAGGATGGACGTGAAAATCCTCACCATCTTTGAACGCGACAATATATGCATGTAGGGCAAAATTTACATGAAAAAGCATTATTTTCATTACCTTTTGATAAGAAAAACAAATGTGACATAATCCATCATTATGAGGGCACTATGAACGTTTTTTTTTTTTAAGAAAATGGAGATTTTGTAATGCCTCCTTTTGATAAATATTTCAATTCCCTTTCCATGATTGTTCTTGAGTAATTGGCAGTGTTATATTCTTCTCAGAACTTGCAAACTATCATAACATTAATGAAAATCAATTCAAAATTATTTATTTAGCTTTTTAGCAGTGTGAAGTTAGCTGCCAAAATTTCCGAATACTTCCGAACGTTCAGTGGCGTACGGAGTCAAAATTATAATTGAGAAAGTTCACAGAACACGTGGAACGAGAAAATAAAAGTTGGTTGTCACTGATGATGTTTTCCATGTCAACTGTTTTCCATGTTAATTGATGATTTCCATACTTAATTCAGTTTTTTATATACTCTGCACAAAATTTAGCGACGGAAAAATAAATACGATCATGAAATAACAATAGTATAAAACAACCACTCTGAAATAATCGGTTGGAAAATAGGTTAACAAGGTGAAAAAAATCAATATAGTTGACTAATTTCTTGCATATACAATTCAGTATATAAAAAACTGGATTAGAAAACAAATCAGTCAATCACAAAATCCTTTTTAATAATTTCAGTGATAGTTACATATAAAAAATGTATTGAATTTGTACTTACCTCCATTTCGATAATGAATTTAACTGATGAGTGAACTGAATTAACAAATTCGACAAATGCTACGTGTCTGTACCAGTATAAAGAAATATTAGTCTTCCTGATGACGCAAAATTGATATCATTAGGAGTCCAAATTGATGTCCCAATTGAACTGATTGAGCGTCTAGAAATCTAGACCTACTCGCTATTTGTCTGTTTCAAAATTATTATTATTATTATTTTGATGAAAACATTCATTCATGTAGCGAAGGGATTATAATGGGTAACCGTTGAGTCCTACGATCATTCAGGCAGTCAAAGCTAATACCACTGAAGATGACTGCCGCAGTAGTAGACGAAACGTCTGATACAACACATTCAATTAATTTTTTTTCAAAATTCAACGATCTGGAAATGGCATTAAAGATCAACTTAAAATGTTCACAGTGAAAAATTACTGTAAACAGGTTCAGTTCAGCTGTTTTTATAAATTTCGTTTGGCGTTTTGGAAAAGTTTTTATTTTTCAAAACATGTAAAAGGAGTACTTTTTCTTCAGACATTTCTACCCAGAGAGAATTTTTTAGTTAACCCTTTATTTAGACTCGGCTGAATCAACATTAATTTGATGTATTGATGTATTGATTTTGTTCAAAAACACATGGAAGACTCGGAAATATTGAGCCAACCAACAAAAAAATCAAGCAATCACTCGATTACTCAATTATTTGGTTAATCAAAAAAAATCTGGTGAAAGATATGATTTATAGATTTATCTCAAGGACACTATTAATTGAGTGATAATCACTTTGAAGTTTCCATAAATACCTTGCTTGGCAACAGTTACACTCCATTATTTCAAAGGTTACACGTGTTACCAAGTTTGGTCCGTTAATTTTGCTGCGGCCCATGTCTTGAGTGTATAAAAATATGATTTTATCTTGTATTATTGTAAACGAAAGTATTTGCTCCGAACATTTGCTATTTCTAATTATTTATTATCTTAATTTAAATTGAAAGGTGTATATTTTTTGGTCTATCATGTTTAAAATCGCTGTAAAACAATTTAAACAATAATAGAACTGGACGATACTTGATGAAAATCCATATTAAAACTAATTAATATAGTTAATTGTATGATTTTCACTATAATGTGGTTTTACAAAAACCGCGACACGAGTTTCGCTATACAACTAGCTGACTAGCGCAGATGTCACGATTTATTTTGAAAATAATCGAGAGCAGTTGCTGAGTTATATTCTATTATTTTGAAGCTCAATAAAGAAAAGGAAAGTCTAAAATGTGCAACAGCAGTAAGAATTTTTCCGATAATAACAAACAGGTCCATTTTTGTACACCGAATATAGGAGATAATTTAGTTAAAAAGCTAATCAATGAACATTTTATATGACCAGTTTCCGAACAAAGTGAAATTATTTGTTGAAATCATTTTGTTTGACAAAGAATGGATTTACTGTTGTGTACATGATAAAATTTACCAAATAAATCAATTTAATCTATATGTATATAGCTTGTCAGAAGTGTAAGGTGTCGTAAAATCAAAATCAAGGATAAGATGATTTGATTGATATGCTGAGAGAGATATTAGAAGAGACATTTTCAATAAAGGAATCACATTTCAGATTTGAGTCTAGTGAAATTCGCAAGCATTTATAGTGTGTACGAAATCGATGGGAATGGCATAAAAACTAAATAGTTTACATGATAAAATTTACCCAATAAATAAATTTAATCTATATATATAGCTTGTCAGAAATGTAAGGTGTTGTAAAATCAAAATCACGGATAAGATGATTTGATTGATATGCTGAGAGAGATATTAGAAGAGACATTTTCAATACAGGAATCACATTTCAGATTTGAGTCTAGTGAAATTCTCAAGCATTTATAGTGTGTACGAAGTAGATGGGAATGTCATAAAAACTAAATAGTTACCGAACGTCGGCAGTTTCTTTGTATGGCACGGGTATGATTATACCACGCCGCCAATGCCATAAAAACTGCCGTCGTTCGTTAACTATTTAGTCAATTCGAATTGAATGAAACTAAATAGTAATCAAATGTCGGCAACTTCTTTGTATGACATGGGTATAAATATACAACGCCGCTCGTGACATGGGTATAATTTATTCCACGCCAGACAAAGAAACAGCCGACGTTCGGTAACTAGTCAATTCGAATGGCATAAAAACTAAATAGTTACCGAACGTCGGCAGTTTCTGTTTAGCATGGCTATAATTATACTACGCCGCCCATGGACGTCGGCAGTTTATTTGTATGGCATGGGTATAATTATACCACGCCGCCCATGCCATACAAAGACGTTCTGTAACTATTTAGTCAATTCGAATGGCATAAAAACTCAATAGTTACCAAACGTCGGCAGTTACTTTGTATGACATAGGTATAATTATACAACGCCGCCCATGCCAGACAAACAAACTGCCGATGTTCGGTAACTAGTCAATTCGAATGGCATAAACTAAATAGTTACCGAACGTTGGCAGTTTCTTTCTATGACATAGGTATAATTATATTAAGTCGCCCATGTTACACAAAGAAACTGCCGACGTTCGGTAACTATTTAGTTTTTATGCCATTCAAATGGACTTCGTACACGCCATTCGCTCTGCAGTAACGCACAAATCTTAAGTTGAAAAACCTAGAGTTTTATTTGTTTTGAAAAGTATATTTGCGAGTCTGGCTAACATTTAGGATATTCCTTTATTTGGGAAAAATATTTTTGGCGTTCAACTTCTCCATGTATCTGCATGTGTATGCACTACGTTTCTTTTCCAGATGGAACGGTTCTAGTTAATGAAACGCGATCGAGATTAAAAACTAAAGAAGTTCTTGTATTTTGTTTTAAAATCTGTTTTTCCGTTAATCAGCTGTCGCCCTCATATGAACGACAGCACTCAGAAGTTGAGAAACTTGTGCGAGCTAAGGACTAACGAGGTCTTACCTTTTAACGTGTGATTCCTAACATGGTTGCAGAATCATCCCAGCTCCAACCAGATAAATTCTCTCGAGAAAAATATCTGGTCGAGGCAGTAATCGAATCCACGGTTTTCCGATCGTGAGTCGAGCGCACTACCACCGCGGCCAATTCCACACAAATGTATTGTGAGAATAAAAAAAAAAAAAAATAATTTCGTCAGTTTGTGTTGCTAATTTGGTGGTTGAACCGACTTATCTGATAATAACCGCAACCATGGGTGGTTATGGGAACAGGTCGTTGTGGAACGCTGTGATATGGCTTGATATTAGTATCCGGTGTTTTGAAGATAAAGTCGTTAAATTTTTCGGCAACACTTTCAAAGAATAAAAATGCTGACTCAAAGATTGAAATCGATTCAAGACAAGTTTGATAATTATTATCTATCACGAAAAACACAATGCTCAAAAATTAATTCAATGGGTGCAGTTATGTGGTGCTAATCAAAAATAAGTATTTCTGTGAATAATCTTCAAGTTCGATTGAGGTTTTATCAAATATCCTGCACTTTGTAGTGTTCACCTGAAATTATTTTATTTATTGTTACGAAAAGTATATCAACTTGTTAGCATCCTTATCATATTAGTATCTAACTCTTATGCTAATAAGATTTCTTTTATTCTGGTTTCTTGATATAAAAAAAAAATATTGGAGATGTGTAAATACACATCGATGAACTTTTAATCATTATGACTGCCAACATTTATGAAAAATTGACAGGTCCATACTGAAAAAAAAAATGTGATGATTGGATTTCAGTGAACGAAACGTCGCGTTGAAAATTAGTTCCCACCAGATTATGATAAACATGAAATGAATTTGAAAAATGAAATTGTTGTTTTCAGGTTTTTGCAAACATTTTAAAAACGTTTTATTAATTTTTTAATCTAAGAATATCAATCTGTTGAATCTTCATAAAGGAAATTTTTGTCCCTTTTGTGTTAAATCAGTCACGTTCATGGCTTATCACCACGGCTGATCAAGTTTCTGTAGAATGTTTTGATGTAATATAATAAATGAGAGAAGGGCAGTTAAATATCTGTTTTTCCGTTAATCAGCTATCGCCCACATACGAACGACAACTCTAGGAAGTTGAGAAACTTGTGCGAGCTAAGGACTAACGAGGTCTTACCTTTTAACGTGTGATTCCTAACACGGCTCAAACATATGTTCAAATCTTGTTAGTCTTAGGAAATAGTTTGGATAATTAGATGCATACAATTTTTTATGATTTTTGAGAAGGGTTCAAATTTTTTGTATTTGTGATTTAATGGGCCTGAAAACGAATTTATTATTGAAATTTGACTTGAAGGAGCTGAAAAACCGTTCGAATTTAAAATATTTGGGCTTGTGTAGCAATTCAAAAAACATATTTTTTGTTTAGTATCATATTTGCATACGATTTTCACCAATACGTTCTAATGTGATGTATTGTGAATACTTGAAATTTGAATTATTTGTGCCATTGAATTTTTTTAAAAGCAGGCGATTGGGAACAAGGTTTTGTCGCTTATTTCTAAAGAAATATGTTGGGTCCGGAAATTAAAATAAAATATACCTAAACAGTTATTCACAAGCTTTGACACTTGACGTAGAGGGTGTTACGACTGTTTCGTTTTTGTTTGACTACACTACATTATTTGTTTGAAGGTGATTTACAATGTTTCATGATGAATTTCACTATTTCGGATTTCCATTGTCTAATATATAAAATGATTTCAAAAACAACCAAAAAAGAAGAATTAAAAATAAATAGCTGTAAATGACAATTATATTAAGCTAAAAAACCTGAAATGAAATAATAGTGAAATAAAATGCAAGTTAAAATAAAACAATTGAACAAAAAATAAAAATAAAGAAATACAAAATGAAAATAAAAATTAAAATAAAAATAAAAAAGTTGAGAGATTTCAAGCCAAGTTAGTTCACGACGTTTCGATTGTTAGTATCTACAATCGTCTTCGGGTGATGACTGGACTTATTCCTCCGAGAGATGACTATTTATGGGTCGTTCGAGTACTTACACTTATCCCCGCTTTCCATTTTTTCCGCTTCACTGGTTCAGCGGGAGATGACCGTTTGGCGGTAGTTGGCCATTTTTCGCTTGATGATGGGCTTCCACATGTTGCGTATTTCTACGCT